ATAGCAAAGGATAAGTGGAATGACGTAAATATCCCATTCACAATCGTCTAATTAAAGCTTGTTGTATAAATGGGCAACGCAATTTGATTGATGGCCATCTAAAAGTAGACTTCAATTTTTGTTTGTTTTGAATTCCATTAATAACCATATTTGAATTTTATTTTTCGACAAAATAACCCAATTTCCTTTTCTCTAATATATATATGTTAAAAGTATGTAATAAAGTATTCAAATATCTCAAGTCACAATAAAATAGATATACATTTACGTACGTGTATATATATATATACGTTGAGTTGAGTTGAATCGCACTGTGGGGATTTTGGACCATAATAAATAAAATAAAAAAGTTATTTGTATTTTAATTTTTTTTTTATAATATATCTTTAAAATAGCTTCCAAGTTGGAATTTGAAGGTACGGCTTTTGGATACCTAAAAAGTAGTTAAACATGAGCGAAAGGACGAGGAAATAGCACCGTCCCGACAAAACCTACGGAAAATGCCATTCTTTGATATTTTCAGAAGGGAGGCCTATATTTTTTTTTTTTCTTCTTATTTTAGATTTTAACTCTCAACTCAAATAATTAAGATTTAGTTCATGAATTGTATTTTTATTTTAAAATTTGATAAGCTACATTGAGAGTAGATATGTCTGTAAATTACGCATACTCCAACGTAAGATAAGTAAATGATCATGTTAATGTTTTTCATTGAAGCAATTGGGATATTTTTGAATGAACCAAGCTTTTTCTAGATGACTCTCAAAATTTCAAAGCTACAGTCTTCTAGAAATGGGTTAATTTTCAAAGCTACACAACTTCCAATTCTCTTATATAAAAGCCCCAACTTTTCAAAAAGAAAAAGAAATAATAATAATTTATGTGTTTGCCGATTGCCACCAAATTTTGAAAATGAAACCTTTCTGTTCTGGAGTTCTCGTTACATTAAAATAATTTAAGATCATAAATAAATATCAAAGATTTTTCCTCAAAGAGAAGTGGAATTATTGGTGGATCCGTTGAAATCGTTGGGTGTACGGATGGGATGGCACATGCTTGCAAATTTATTGGTCGGCTAAAATTATTATTGTCTTATTCTTGACAGTTTTCTTTGGTAGACTATATTTTATTTTATTTTTTCTTTTAAAACTTTATATTATGTTCAACTACATTTTTATATAATATCAGATAGACTTGAATGTTTCAGTTAGGTGGATTCAGATGATCTATAGATTTATGTTAAATGTAAAATGAAAGTTTTTTTTTTCGGGTTAAAATCGACCGTGGGTGTATGTATTCATATGAAGATGTAAAGATGAAGATATATATACCAAATTCTAAGAATTAAATCAAATTATTTGACCAAATTTCACAAGTTTTAAATTTATTTGCCTTAACTCTAAAATGATTTTTCGATCCAACAAATTCAAAATATTTTCATTTTACATAAAGCTAAAATCATACAACAGTTTAATTTGAATGATCTTGTTTAACTGGTAGATAGTGTTTTAAAAAATGGCCAGATATCAAAATCAAAATTTAGATTTAAATAATTAATTATTATATATCATAATACACTAAAAAACTCCAATTTTTTTTTAGTTCAATAAAGGTAGAAGCGAAAAATTGTGGGTTAGACATATATGTCAATTACTGGTGTGTTAGGGTCATTTTGACCAACTCAACAAGGTTAATAGATAATTTAGTACACATTTGATAATATTTCTGGTTTTTTAAAATCTTTTTATTATTATTTTTTAGGAAAAACTGTTTCTTAATTATTATTTCCCCATTCCAATTTTTGAGAAATGTTGGTAAATATTCTTGTTTCTCATTTCTAATTTGTAAGAAAGGTTTCTAAATTTAGGTAGAGATTTTAAAAACAAAATAAATTTATTTTTTCTTATTCTTGTTACCAATATGTTTTTTTTTTTTGGGAAAATTAAAACTCAAAACTTAAAAGTCATAAATCGAATTCCCATTTCAATTCTAGAGAATTGATATCAAAAAAGCGGAAGTGTACCTTGATCCATAATTGAATGTTGATTGACGGGTTTGATCTACCAAGTCTAGATGAATGACGATTTTCCCTAGTTTCTACTATGTATATTCGTAGAAGAAATAAGCACATTCTCTGTGAAGGGATGAGAGAAACTGACGTGATTATTAGACTTGGTGACCATAACCCTATGTAAGCGACCAAAAACGATCGGTTATAATGTGTTGATATTTCAAATTTGGCCCCTCATCAATTTAGAAATTATTTTATGATATTTATAAATTTTATCATGGTCGATTATAATTACTCCATTAAAACAGAGGTAACATCACTCATCTTCGTCTAATTAAATTAAATAGCAAAAACACATTAAATTAATACATATGGCCCCATATTATTAGAAAATTCCAACAACTTTTTTTCTAAAACACACATAAAAGTATTGTTTTATAATTTGTATTTTTAAAATGCGTAATAAAATATCGAAAAATAAATAATAACATTGAACATTTAATTTGAAAAAATAAATTTCATATTTATCTTTTACATATTTTAATCTAAAATTCTATAGTACAATAAAAAAAATTATTATCAAATATGTTTCCGTTTGTTTCTTAAAAAATAGTAATAATAAATAAATAAAAACGAAAAACAATCCAACATAATTTTGGTCGGTCTTTAATTGAAAAGATGAAATATGAAATAAGAAATCGAAAATAAAATTTATTTTAACAAACCTTAACTAAACGGATCCTTATCTCTTGGATTAACTCATCTCACTTAAATTAAAATAGTTGTTTTGAAAAACATCTTAAATAAAAAAAAATATGGGTTTGAATTTTAATTTTGGGCCATTTATTTAATAATATGGCCTGTGGGAGTGGCCGTCTGAAAAGATGGGCCATCAATTTCGCCCTTAGCTTCATGGTCATGGCATTGACCATTCACACTCCCCATTTTTTCTCAATTATTTCTCCCATATCCATTAATTCATTTTTTCCCGAACCTTCTTAAAAATTATAACGAAAAAACTTGAAATTCTATATTCAAAAATTGGCAGAGAGTTTATTAAAAATGAATCCGTGTAATATTAGATATAATTTATATGAATATTTATAAAATGGAGACCAAATACTATATATATCCTGACAATTCAATTCAAAGGTTCACTAGATACGCCCAATATATTTGGAAAATTTTAGAGTAAAATTGAGTGTGATGTAACTAATATTTATAAAATTGTGGCGAGAAAACAGTGATGAAATATCTAATTCCGTGACCAATAAAGTTGTACTATTAATTCCATGTTTAATGGAAAAGGGTTGGAAAAATGGGTTCCAATTTCAATTATGTTGGCTTCACATTAGCCACATGGAGAGAGAGAAGTTGTATTCAAAAAATTGGTTGTAGAAAGTTTAGTGTTCTTTGTGGACAATATCTACTTGTAGTCAACCATGGAATTTATTATCATTTTGTGCCGACGGTTGAGCTCAGCGGTGTGAAAACCAAGCTCAAGTATTCAAAAAATTTGGTGTAGAAAGTGTAGTGACATTGTTTATTTTGGTCCTAGTCTTGGTTTGAATATGACATGTTAGATACCTTGTTCTCTTCTTTTCTGACTTGAATTGTGTGAACACTTTGTGCTTGACCCTAATTATCATTATAAATAACATGATCTTGAATTTATAACTTTATTGGATAATCCTACGAGTCGAAGTGTGTTTTTTGATCTGAAAATTGACCAAGTTCGGAATCCAAGTAGATTGAAACAATCGGAACCTGCGAAACAAGGTTAGCACTCTGATGGACAAGTCGCTCTAAGCCTTAAACATTAATGGATTCACGTACCTTGTATGAGAGGCAAACATCCCTATTTATAGGGATGATCTCCAACAGGGCTTCTGAAGTGGCATAATGGTAATTCGACTGTCCGTGAAATGCGGTGTGGGGTGACATGGTATCTACGTCCCTGTAGATATCATAAAATAGTTCAGCTCGTACCCATGTTAGGTCGACCAAATAAGATGTTTAATAGCTCAGTTCGGAGCACAACGCTGAGCTGGAGGAACTTGTGATAATTCTAATTACTTAAGTAGAAACACCCTTAAATATTCGACATGTGGCAGGTGGTAAACAACCTCCAACATGTGTCTTTCAAAAATTTTCGATGAGAGTCGAATATCCATCTGTTGTTAGTGCTGTGTGTGTGTGTGTGTGTGTATATATATATATATATATATATATAATTGATGATTTATCTGTATTTTTGGTGTTTGGATTAATTCACTTGCTTGATATATTGTGGGTTTTAAATTTGTTCAAGTACTTTGTTGGGAAAAAAAACTTCAAAATATATAATTAAAAAAATATAAATAACCAACAATGTTTGTTTTATTCATGAAATAAAAGTGAATAAGAAAGAAAAACATCTAACGAACAGCCCATACATATATAACTGGGCCATATTTGTAGGTCACATTGGGCTCAGTTGGATCCTTTATCAAGGCATCTTCTATGTTCCCAACTGTATGATTTGGGCCGAACTATGTGACGGCCCAATCCGTAATCCACATTGGAAACAGCCCAATAAGTTCAACAATGCAGCTTTACCAAATTTAGTTATGTTCAAGTTAAAAAATAATATATTTGGCTACATTAATGTTATACAATTTTTTAAAAAAATTAACAATATAATTCGAAGCATAATTTGATAGTTGGCCATCTTAAATTATATTACGATTATAATTATTTATGGGAATATGATGAGCTTTTTGCAAATGTTGTGGGCTGTCCATTTCAAATTGATCAAGAGCTAAACCAACGGTCGAGATTCATTCAGTTGACGTTCATTCGACAAAAATAATGAAAAGCCAGAACAGAAAGTGGGCGGTTCCTTCCCTTCGTGGTTTGAATTCAATTTTTTTTTTTTTTTTGAAAAATAACAACAACTAATTAGGAATAATTAAAATTTTGAAATAATTGAGTGAAATTGAATAAATCAATCTCAATCTTCCAATCCCGTCTATGATCTGTCCATTTCTTGTTTCTCCTCGAAGCTTCGCGTTTCACGAGGCTCTCGTTCGCGTTCCTTCTTCGATTTCGTTTCTGTGAAACTCGAGGAAATTTCATCCACTGGGGTTCGTTTGATTTGGGGATTTGTTCAGTGGGATTTGAGTTTCGATGCCCATGGCGACCGCGCCCTTGAATAAAATTGAGCGAGCGCACCAGATGTATCGGGAGGGGCTCTATGTGGAAGCCCTGAGATTCTACACTGAAGCGCTTGCCATGGCCAAGACCAAGTCCCAGAGGATCGCGCTCCATAGCAATAGAGCTGCCTGTCATTTGAAACTTCATGATTTTAAGAAGGTATCGTCTCTTTGCCTCTTATTCCGATTCCCAATTCGAAAGTGTTTCTTGGTTTGCCCTGAATTGGATTTGCATTTCGTTAATTGATTTCATTCCCCGGGAAATGAAACTTCAGTGTTTAGGTATCCTTAAATTGAATATTCTGCTTTCGATCACTGATTCCAAAGAGATTGTCTTATAATTTGCGTATTGGATTGAAGTTTGATTCCTTGTAATCTTGTCGGTTCAATTTTAGGCAGCGGAAGAATGTACGTGGGTTCTTGAGCTTGATCACAAGCACACCGGAGCGCTAATGCTCCGTGCCCAGACTCTTGTTACCCTGAAGGAATACCATTCAGCTCTCTTTGATGTCAACAGACTTATAGAACTGAACCCAACATCAGAAGTTTATCAAAATCTTCAAACTCGTCTCAAGACGCAATTGGTACACCCTCAACTCACTAAACTATTTCCTTATCACGCTGTTCATTTGCTGATGATCGTAAGTTGGTGGATGTTATGCATCTTGTTTTATTAACCGAATGATTTCGATACTTGATCTTGTCAATAGAATCACGTCCATATACTGAAGTTGTATAGGAATTTATTTTGTCAGAATTCTTGCAAGGAACTGGTGTAATTTGTGTGTGTGTGTGTTTCTAAGGGAGGAATTTTCGGATCTGGTTTGTCAATCTCCATCTCGTAGTTCTTACATGTAATTTAATTGGATGCTATTATGCTTGTGGCTATTGGTAAGAGATGTTTTTTCTGCTTAAGGAAAGTCACTTGCTCCAATACCTGAATCAGAAGCAGAGCTTGAAGAGGAAGAGGAAGAGGAAGAGGAGGAATATGATGTTGAGTTCAATGCATATGCAGCCAGCGAGATGTGCAAAGAGGAAAAAGAAAATTCAGTATCTCCAAGTATTGAGCGGGTGCAGAAACCTGAGCACAATTGCAGTTTGACCGAAAATACCGATGTCCAGACAACTCGGGGCTACAGTGGATTTTCTGAAGATGGAAACAGTCAGAAAGCTGAGGTGAAAATGACTACTAGAACTGAAGTTGTTGCCCCTCAAGCACAGAGCATGAAGGGTACAATGGACCAAGGTTCCAAGGGCTGGAAAACAATCCCAAAACCAAAGGGACACTCAACTTTAGACTATGCACGGTGGGACCGAGTCGAGGATGATTCTAGTGAAGACGACGATGACGATGAAGAAGAAGAGTCTGGACCTCAATACCGTTTTCGTGTTAGAACTGTTGGAGTTAGATCGGTGAAGTGAACTGAACATACAACATACAATCAAATGTCTTGCTGTCTTGATAGAGAACTGACACAACGAGCAACTCGAAACCTTGTGGATTCAGAGATTCACATGTTTTAAATATCAACATCAATGATACTTTCAGATCTACATGATGAGGTTTCCGTCACGAGGAAGATTAGCACCATGGATGATCTGATCGACGAGCAAGCTCTACACATGATATCTTAAACAAAGCTCCCAACTTATGTCGTAGTTTGGTTTGAGTAATGTGTCTGCAGCAGAACATCACATTCCGGGTGGTTATCAGAAATGGATAATATTTCTGGCGTCTAATGTTCAATGCTGGCTTTTCGTTCGCCCGAGAAAATGATGTAAATACTATTATCAGCCGCTATCCACGGCGAATTGTTGGTAGACTCAGCAGCAGAGTAAGGTTCAAATTTCCTGATACCTGAAAGAAACAAACAGTTGTAATGTCATGGTGATAAGGTAATTGAATGGATTGTTAATCTTGTTTTTTTACTTTTGTTCCTTTCTTTGTTTTGTTTCGTTTCTTTTTTCTGGCATTTCGGAAGCCATGGATGATGTTTCGGCTAGTTTCGTGAATAATTTGAGAGTTGAAACAAAAATTTGGCCAGAACAAGCAAAATCATGGGTATTAGCTAACCAGTAAATGTAGAGGTAAGCCATTCTCTTTCTTCCCTGTAACTTGTTTCTCCTTTACACCATTACTTGAGCTAATTTATTGTATGAATTGTGTTCGAGCTCCTTGTCGTATTCGTTCGACTCGGAGCAAATATTTATATTTGGTTTCTCAAATAGTTCAACATATTTTCATTAGGGTCATTCTTGAACGTTTTAAATCACTACTGAACCCTCGTGGATTAGCTTTTAGCTATTTGGAAGTCCTAAAATTGCTTCGGAATCATTGGGGATATTAATTAAAATAATATATATATGTTTTTTATATATGAAAATATTAGACTATGGTGGCTTAAATGAGTAATTGTCGTTTACATTGTATATTTCTTTTTCTAACTAATTCTAATTTTGTTTAGACGACAATAATAATAAATGTTAGTGTAAAATGATAAATTGAAGCAAAATTTGTTTTTTTTTTTGTTTCTACAGAATTCCGTGGATTACTTTTAAATGAGTATTTCCTTAGATGGTAGGCAACATCTCTCAGTTGTCTACCCTCTTTCCAACTTGGTTAGCGTTAATTTTAGACTTCAAATTTTAATATCCGTCCCGAACTAAAATTTAGTTACTAACGTTCATATTTCTCACTTATAATTTTTTTAAGAAATCTAAACAGTTTGCAACTAATTATATTTATTGTTTATCGTTTTTTGGAATATCGTCAAAATTGTATATAAATTTTGAAAACAATCAAAATAAATTTTGTCTTTCTAATTCTAATTTCTATTTTTTTTTTGAAATATTAATAAAAATATCGTTTTATCATACTTGAATTAATGGACGTTGGGACAATATAATTCATTTTTTTATTAGAATTAAAAAAATAGAAACATTACCAAATGAGCTTAGGCAGTTTAGTAATATCTTCATTTATTTTAATAAATAAAAATATGTTAACTTAAACATACAATCAAAAAGTAATTTGAGCATAGAATTAAAAGGTTGTAAATTTGAATTCCTACCATCTTGCGTTCGGCAACTATTTTTATTTTTTATAAAATGAGACTTAATTTTGTTTGAAATGGAAATAAATAAAAAACTTGTTTTTATTTCTAAGATTTCTATATAATTTTGTGAAAAAAATATAAATAATTGTCAAATACTTAAATTTTCCCATAAAACTTGACGGAATAGAGTCATAACCAATAGGATGCTTACTTTACCTCCTTAAATTTTCATAGTCTATAAAAAAAAACCAACACATAAAGTCTTTTTCATTAATTATGTCTAATAAATCTACAGAGTTCCAATTTTTTATTTAATAGATCTCCAAATTCAAAATTAAATATTAAATTTAATAATTGGAGTCGACCCATCAACCTTATACACAAAACTATATGTCGAATTCACATTCTCTCGATTAAAGATATATGTCAATTACTGCTGATTGATGCTCACTTTAACGTATTGTTAAACTAGTTTAAGTACTTTGACAAAAAATTTATGAGCTTGAATCCCAAAATATATATATATATATATATATAGTTAGATTAATTATTATTGTTTGGCATGCGTATGCGTATTGTATTTGGTTTGGTGAAAAATAGCACGTATGGAATGGACGGGACGGGGCCGGAGCGAGAGCACCAACAAAAATTTCAGCTTACTTCACTCCCGACTGCTTTTTCCATCCTATCTTTCTCATAAACCCTAACCAAATTTTTTCCCAAATTCTTTTTCTCCGCCCATTATCACAACCCCTCGTTTTTGTTTTTTGTTTTTTTTTTGTTTCTGTTTTTAATTCATGTCCTTGCGAATTCTGCACGATTCTCTCCTGCTCTTCGCCTGCCCAGTTTAAATAAGGTAATGTCAATCGCATTCTTACCCGCTACTTCTGTTTCTGCAACTTAGATGATTACTCGATCATCAATCTTCTTGTTTATGCCGCAATCATTCTTCATTTGAATCTGAATTTTTTAGTTTGGTTGTATCGCTTCGAATATTGGGATTTCGAGACGTAAGTCAATGGGAATAATCGTCCCAACTGAGGGGAGGGGGAGGGGGGCAGCGGCAGTCGTATGTTTCTCTGGCATGACTGTCGGACATTTGTCTTCTCCTTCGTTTTTGTTGTGAATAGTCGAGAGGAGCCACATGGAGTCAATTTAGGAACACTATAGCTCTTATCTAAGTAGCTTTACACGGAAATATAATACCTTTTGAAAGTTTTCTGAGAGAAAAATGTGTTTTTGTTTTTGTACTTTGTCAGTGGTAAAGTTCCTTGTTTCTCCATCTAAAACTAGCAGTTTTGAAGCTATCGGAGTTGTGGAGGCTTTCTCAAACTATTTACAGTTGGTTATTATAATTTGTTATAATTTGTTATAATTTATTTTGGTGTCAAATATGTCTAGTCGTTGTGGATTTATGATTGTAATTTGTAAGTTACTGGATTTGGTGTATCTAACTTTCAGTTTTCCTGGACAAAATTTCCTTGTCTATGAATTTTGGGCAACAGATATGCATATGGAGAATTTATCATCTAGTGATCCGTTGCATCATGCAACATACGAAAATAGTGATTCGAAGCACTCGCAGGACGGGCTGGAGGATGGATCCCGTTGGTATTTTTCTAGGAAGGAATTAGAAGAATATTCACCTTCTAAACAAGATGGGATTGACTTGAAAAAGGAGACATATTTACGCAAATCATACTGTACATTCCTCCAAGATTTGGGAATGAGACTTAAAGTGTGAGTTTTCTAACCATCTTTAAATGTGCTATTGCCTTATGCCTTCTATCTTGTCTCCCCAGTGAAAGGCATTCAGTTTTATTGTTGCCTTATCTTCGGTTATCCCCCTTCATACTGTCATTTCACTTTCTTTAGAACCTTCCGAAGAATTATATTCCATTCACTCCTTGATTTGATTTCATCCCAAGAGTTGTTAAAGATATATATTAAATGTTACTCTGCTCTAGATCTTTTGCCACACTCAAGTTCCTTAATCTATTTTCTGATGTAGATATAGTAAATGCATTCATTTTATTATATCAGGATATAATTTTTATTGGATTGATTTTAGCAGCTTCCATCTCCCGCTTCATCCCTCCTTTGGCTCTCTGTTTCTCTCTCTACCTAGACTACCTTCTCCATGATAAGCCTGGCACTTTTCAACCTGTTTATCCCATTAAATTTTTGTCCTGTTGAAACTTTAAGCATTTATTAGATATTAAAAAGTATCAATTTGCCTCCCTTTTTTTTCCCGTCTATAGCTGTCCCTGGATCAATTATTCTGCTGTCTCAAGATTATTATCTTATCTTGTGGTTTCCATTTTTATTATGCAGACCCCAGGTAACCATTGCTACAGCAATAATTTTTTGCCATAGGTTCTTCCTTCGACAGTCTCATGTGAAGAATGACAGGAGGGTACGTTCATTTCTTTGAGTTTTTGTTGGGAGATATTTGTTTTGTGTGCTTATGTCTGGATGATGGACTTGGAAATTTGATGTCTATAGGCATCTATTATTCTGTTGCTCACATAGGAATCCCACACCCATTCTATGTTGGGATTTCACATAGATATATAAATAATCAATCTCTATTATTATTTAACTTATAACTAATGTCATACATAACTGATAACACTTCTTTCTCCATCCTTTCCTTTCCCCCTTTTTCTTGTTTTAAGTTTTGCAGTGTGTATAATGTATAGTGAAACCAAAACTTGTTCACCTTCGGAAATGAAATCATCAATTATTTCAAACTTCCAGATTCCATACCAAATTCTCCGTTTTTAACCAAGTATATTTTGAAAGTTTGTTCAACATTAATTTCTTGAATTTCTTCTTTGGAATCATCATATCTAATAAGATGATGTATGATACCTTCAAAAGTTGTACACATTTTTTTTGGAAGTATGTGAGGTACATAGATGACTTCCTCTGCTGATAGCTCTCATGATCTCATCCATAGGACCTTTACCTTTGTGACTTTGTCATTGATTCGGCACGGGCATGGAATCATACAGATATGGCGATACGTTAATTTCTAAAAAAATAGGACACACACACGATGGAGACACATCTTTTATTTATTTATTATATATATATATATATAAATAAAATATGTATATATATATTTAATTCTTTAAGAGAGATAAAATATGTATAGTGAACACATAAGAAACAGAATATACTTCACTAAGAATTCTAAAGGCTGAGATAAAAATTCGTGACGTTTGGTCACTCTACTTTTTATGTTTGGTCATATAGTTATAAAGTGGTTTGATTCATCCTGGAGTTGGTTTATTATGCTAGATGGAGAAAAGGTCATTTCATCCAACCAATATGAACATTAAATAACAATAAGATTTTACATGAAGTTGCTCACGACTATGGAGTGCATAAATCTTAAAGAAATAATAAAAAAAAACTAAAGCTGAAACTAAAACTAAAACTAAAACTAAAACTAGGAGGTAGGGGATTGAGAAAAACTAAACTAACTTGCTGGCAGTGGTATTGGGAAAAATCTCACTAGGAAGATAAGAGCCTAGGAGGTAGGGGATTTGAAGATAAGTTCTGGGGTAGTGGGCTTGCGAAAATTCCCACTAAAGAAGGTAAGTACGTAATAATGCTAACCTATTAAAAACCAAAGGCCACCGCTTAATTTTCTTCCTCCTTCCCTGCTTGATTTCAACTGAAGCTCCAATGTACAATTTCAATTGAACAATCGAAAAAGATAGTTACTCTCTCTGCAATTTCCACTGAAAATATGAGTACTTTTCTCTATCCCTTAATCAATTTGGTGCCATGTTTCAATCTAATTTGGTGCCATGTTTCAATCTCCAATTTGAAGGCAAGCAGAGGTATTTTGATGAAAGTTTCTCTTCAACTAAATTCAAAGCATCACATTGTGTTCTCTTGTTGTTTCTTTTTTGAATTATTCTCCTTCTCTTGTTAACGCTAATTGGGGAGTGTTTATTAACTCTTTGTAATTTTGTATTTTTTGTTTCCCTCTTTTTTCACTCTTTTGAGAGTCTGTATCCTTGAGCATTTGTATTATATTTTCATTAATTCACCGAGAAGTTGTATCTTGTTATAAAAAAACTAGTAAAGACGATGGAAATCCTAGCATTTATTTCTTTATAGTTTGCAATGAATAATGATCCATTTTTATTTTTGATTCTTTATGAGAATTTCGTAGTATTTACAAGCCTCTTTTGTTGGGCTTCATTAAAGGCGTTGAAATGAAATCTGAAGTAGGGTATCTTTATAGCATAGGGTTGAGCTCGTACGTGTATTGAGTAGATGATGTTATTTTAGTGCCTCAGTTTAGTTTAATTTTCTTGCAGACAATTGCGACAGTGTGCATGTTTCTCGCAGGAAAGGTTGAAGAAACCCCTCGCCCATTGAAGGATGTTATTCTGGTTTCATACGAAATCATCAACAAAAAGGATCCTACTGCTGCCCAGAAGATCAAGCAAAAGGTATCAAAATGGTTACAGTGGGTCAATTTTCGGTTCATATTTCATGTGGCTGGTATCTTGTTCTAGCATGTCTTCATTTCTGATGTTATTGTTTATGCTACACTTCAGTATTGGGTGATCTATTTTGTTCTTTGTTCATTCGAAATTTCATTTTCCCTCTTGTCCTAACTACAAATGGGCTAGTAGCTCTTTTATTTTTGGCTTCAACAACTTTGTTAAATTTTTAATTTTTAATGAGCATTGTAATAGACTGTTTTTAAGGAAATGACGTGTGGTTTAAACACTTGGAAGCTAACAGTTTGGTCTCTGGTTGCATTTAGTGGAAATAAGATTATGCTTGGAACACTGCAGAGTAATGACTGTTTGGTCTGGAGGTTGTCTTAGTTCAACTCTAGACTGTAGTTTAATTTGTTTCCCTTGTTAGATGAAAATGAAAGCATGTATTTATTTAAACAATTAAATTATTTATCAACATGTTCACATAATCTCCTGCAGGAGGTGTATGAACGGCAAAAAGAGTTAATTTTACTTGGCGAGAGAGTTGTTCTCGCAACTCTTGGTTTTGATCTTAATGTGCATCATCCCTACAAACCCCTTGTTGAGGCAATTAAAAAATTCAAAGTTGCTCAAAATGCCTTGGCTCAAGTAGCTTGGAATTTCGTCAATGATGGGTATGGGCTGTATGGCAGATTGCATGCCTTGGTTTTATGTATTGCCTATAGATGGCTTTTCTCGGTTCTCTTTTCTTGAAATGGGGATGTGGTATGCAGATTGCGGACATCTCTTTGCTTGCAATTTAAGCCTCACCATATTGCTGCTGGTGCCATTTTCCTTGCTGCCAAATTTCTCAAAGTTAAACTCCCATCAGATGGGGAAAAGGTGTGGTGGCAAGAGTTTGATGTCACCCCACGGCAATTGGAGGGTCAGTGTCATGCATTTTCTTTGAATGTAGTAGTTTTAGTGGAGCACTGAAAACTTATGTTGCACCCTTGGACTTCATTTTGTTGAAGTGCACGCTGAAACAATTTTTCACCTTTTGTTTCCTAGATCTTGTGTTGAGAAAAATCTGCAATTTAAGCCAGGCAAAAGTTTATTTATTTATTGATCAATATTTCATGCCTAAGTAATACTTTTGGAGAATGATATGTTTAATATGCCCAACTGTTCTCCTTTTCCCTGCAAATAGTTATGCGATTCTAACTGTTAATAGTGTTATCTTCTGCAGAAGTCAGCAATCAAATGTTAGAACTTTATGAACAAAATCGATTACCACCTTCTGGTGAAGCTGGTGGAAGCATAGGAGGTGGTCCCACTAATCAAACGGCTGCGAAAGCCTTGACTAACAGTGAAGAACGTGCCGTAACAGAAAATCATGTACTAGGTGCAGGTATTGCTACTTGTTCAAGACTTGGAACCTCAAAAGCTGGTTCATCTAGGCCAGCATCTGAACACTCATTTGCAGGTGATCAGCCCTCGAAAGCAATTCCGAATCCAAGTGTTGAAAGTTCGAGTATAGATTTTAGAAGTCCTTCCAATCACAAAACAGGCAGTGAATCTAAGGTTAGGCAGGAGATGGATCCATCGGCGGGTTTCCATGACAAGGGAAAGTCTCAAAACTCATTAAAGCATCAGTCAGAGGGATTGGTTGAGCAAGACCATGCAAACGATATGAAAATAAATGAAAGAAGGGATGGGATGGAACTGAAAGACAAACATGTAAGTCGAAATACAGATTTTAGAGAAGGGACCCTTGGCCTTGGCAAATCCCAGGAGGTTATCAAAAAGATTGATAAGGACAAAGTAAAGGCAGCACTTGAGAAACGAAGGAAGTCTCTTGGCAGCATGACCCAGAAAAAAGAGTTGATGGATGAGGATGATCTTATTGAGAGGGAGTTGGAAGCTGGTGTTGAGATGGCTGCCGGGAGCGAGAAAAACAAACGGGAACAGAGACTGAGTTGGAATAAGTCATCGAATAAACAAGAACACGAGGATTTGTATCAAGAGAAGCAGCGAGACAATGATGGAGATGAACATCTTCAACGAACACGGCAGTCATACGATCTGGATTCTAGCAACATAGAAGAAGGGGAGTTCTCAACTATCAATGAAGTTGGTTATGGGTATCACGAGTCCCCAAAGTCGAATAGCCGTAAGAGAGGCAGGGAGCTCACAGGATAAACCTTTGAAGGAAAAACAAAGGCGTGTCGTGTCCGTGTTGTGTCGGTGCAGCTGGCCAAACAAAGAGAGACCAGAAGATTATCGTTCTGGAAACTCATGTTTGAGAAATTCGGCTCGAGTTTTATTCAGAATGTTTTAGGTATTAGTCATTCCTGGAATCACTCATCATCCAAAGATTAAATTGCTATTCCCTTGAGAAATTCAAATTGAGGGCCGTGCTCTCCACGTAAGTCAACTTCTGCTATGCTTTCCATGTATTTACAACTTAAATACAGCAACGATTTTGAAAGGGCCTCCTCTATGTCTACATAAGAATGTGATGATTAATGATAGACTTTAGAGGTACAAATTTTCAAAGATTGTTGGAATTTGACCAATTTTAAGCTGGGTCATTATGCAATTATGCCGAACATTTTGCAATCACATTCAAACCATATAAACAATGCGAATGGTTAGTTTGATAGTATCTTTCTTCGAGTCATAAATTTGAATCTTTTCATGCATGAAAAAACGAACGCATTAGTAGTAAAATATGTTTTCGTTCACTTTGTTGTTTTCTTTTCCTCGAAGTTCTCGAGGGTACGAAGTTGAGTCGAATTTGTTCAACTAAAATAGGTTTATAATTGGAGATGAAACAGACCCATTTTGTTTGGTAGTTTAAGATGGTTACCATGTGTTTGGCTTTAAGCCAATTTGGAGGGAAAGCGTAACAAATTTGAAAACAAAAAGCCCCTTTTCTTTTCATCATTTTTTCGAAGTTCGAACCTGAAGAACAAACCTACCTTCGATTACCATTTCAAAGTCCGAATTTGAAACTCAAACCAAACCAATAGGAAGGGAGAGCGCGGCAATTAATTAATCGGTGACGATATATTCTTGCTGAGGAATTTGCATTTTTCTGTAATCCCTAATTTTCCTTTTCGAACCGTATTCGGCTTCACCTACCGCTTCTCTGTCTGTAATTCCTGGAGTTTAGAGGAGGGATCGAGTATGTCGCAAAGCAACGGGCCTGATTTCAATCTGCCGGATGAGATTTTGGCGGTGATTCCAACGGATCCCTACGATCAGCTCGATCTTGCGCGTAAAATCACCTCCATGGCTATAGCCTCTCGTGTGTCGAATCTTGAAGCTGACATGGTGAGGATGAAGCAAAAGCTTCACGAGAAGGAGCTGACCATCTTCAACCTGCAGGAGAAGTTGACTCACCTCGAGCACGCGAACCAGGAAGCTGAGTCTAGGTTGAAAATTGCGCTCGATGATAATGTAAGTGGATGCTGTGTTCGTAATTCGGAATGCTTGGAAGCCTTCTTTTTCTCTTTTTATTGGCATTTAGATAGTAAAATTTTGGGCCAACCATGCTGGATGTATGGCGATTATTTTCGCCGTAGCATATGTTGAGATATTTTTTCGATTGAAAATGACAAAACAGGTTATCTGTATTTGCTTAAATTCAATGGCTATAGATTGTTGAGCATCTCAATTTTCGACGAAGACGGATGACTGATAGCTCAGTACTTTGCTTTTGGTTCACGATAAAGGAAAAGACCAAAATATTCCGAATTATCTTCCCAATTTCGGCACTTCAGAAGATAGATTATCGGAGCTCAGATTGCTATATAATGATAGGAATTTGAGATTTGGTGACAGAGATGAAAATTTAAATTTATGATTTGTTGCTGTTTCCAGTTGAGAGAGAAAAGTGAATTAAGGACTAACATCGTTTGAGTAGATTCTGGAACGGAAATTTTCTTAAGGGGGTTCTAAGCTAGTTCAGTCAAATAGAATATTGGTAGATATGGCGTTTGATTGTATAATATTTTCCAGAGAATGAGGGAGACCAAAGAGATTGGATTTCGTATAACCTTTTGGATTCTCCTTAAATAAGTAGCTTTTTTTTTTAATAACCGGGAGTCAAAGCGTTGCTTCCCTATACCTTGAGGCACCTGAGCTTGCCTTGAAGTCCGAACTGGGGAGACATCAAGGGTTCTTAAATAAATAGTTTTGTTAATTTGAACCAGTTAATTTGGTTCCTTTGGGCATGGCTCGAAGATTGAAAAAATATATTATGGAATCTATTAACTGATTGAAATTCCCTGAAACCTTTGCATTCTCTGGTACATTTTGGATAAAACTGACTATGTTATACCTAATAGTTGTTTGGCGTAGATTATTTAATTGGCTGTGCTAAAATGCAATCGTGTGGGAGTTTATCCTAGCAATCAGTTTCAAAATGAGAGCAGAGATGATTAGTGGAAGATACTTTTGCTGCTCCAACTATTATTTTGTTACACTTTTAAGGCCAATTTTCTAGTTCCTCATCAAAGCATGTTGAAGTAACGTTGGTCTCATTTCCTGTTGTTTATTATTGTTTTTTTTTTTGTTTTTTTTTTATGAAGATGAGGCTGTCCAGGGAACGGGATTCATTGTCAATGACTTCAAAGAAACTTGGACGTGATTTGGCAAAGGTGAGAGCATTCTTATACAGAAACAAATAACCTTTGTCTCTCTGGCTATTTTTTTTTGATAAGAAACCAAACTTTTCATTGAGAATAATGAAAACAAAATGGATGTACATGGGCATACAAAAACAAAGACCTAAAGAGGAAAGCCAAACTAAAGAAAGGACCTCCAATCCAAAAGAATATGACCTAACTGATAGTTACAAAACAATTTCGGAACAGACCCCCATAAAAGAACATTAAACCTTATGAGGTCCTAAATAGACTCCCACTTTCTTTCCACCCCCTTAAAATTCTATTGTTTCTCTCCAATCAAATCCCCCACATGATCCCAAAGAAATCCGCTTGCCAAAGGAAACTCCCTTTCTCACGGAAAGGAGAGGACATAAGCACTTCCTATCAATTTCGAGATCTGTATGTTGATTAGTTTGGCTACTAGTCAAACTTTAAGTGAAATAACTTCTTATGGTGCAAACTGAAAGAAGATCAGGCTTGTTTTGCTCATAGACTAAGAGCCAGCATGTGAGCCCATCATGCCATGTGTATCTCTAGAGCTTAAACATCTGCTTGGCTTCTGAAGTGGAAGGAACAAGTCGATGGGATATGAATCTCAAAAGATAATGTCATCATCAATTCATTGATTTCATTGCTTTTTGTCTCTTGTCCTTAAATCTTGAAGTGTTTTGTGCTTACCATTTTATGAGTTGGCTGGACGAGGAATTTGGTTAAGATCTTGGGAAGTCAGGTTAGGGTAATTAAATAACTAATTGTTAAGATATACGTTGCTATTTCTTTGGTATATAGTAAGGTAATTTGATTGAGAACAGAGTTCATGTACCTATTCTACCATGTCTCTAAATTTGCACGCTTCTAATTTCTTTAATTTATTGCAATCACCTCTCATGTTGTTTTATATAATTCTTTACATTTTTCTTAGAATGGTTAATTTTAGGACATTTGAAATGAGTGCTTCAATTCGTTAGATATCATAAGGCTGGTGTTTTTTCGAATGACAGCTGGAGACATTTAAGAGACAACTGATGCTATCACTTAATGATGACTCCTCTGTAAGGTTCCCCGGTCCATAAATTTTACCAGTTATGCTTGGCTGATGATACATAATTCCTCGTGTATAATTTGTCCTTTGATGACTTCTTTTTGACAGCAAACTGAAACTGTTGATATTGGGACCTGTGATCAAGCAGTTCCTAAAGCGTACACTGACAAGGGTATTATAGAATTCCTTGACCTTATTTTCCATTTTCTTCTCAATGAACTATTAGTTCTTATCTATATCACTATATGTTATATATTTGGTGTTCAATTGGACTTAACTCTCACCTGGACTTCAGACGAGGTAACAAATGGACACGTCAAACATCACTCTTTCAGTGGTTCAACAGAGACGAGAAACACAATGGATGAAGGTATTGTGGATTACTACCTTGTTTAATGCAACGGATAGAAGAAAGGAAATTGATAGTAATTAGATTATGATCATAAATATTAACTTCAGCTGATAAAACAATGCGTTATTGAAGTCCTGGAGAATGCCATTTTATTGCCAGTTGGTTTTCAAGGAATTCTCTTCAGTTTATGATGGATAAATTGACACTAAAGGCAGCATTTATTCTTCAGCGGTAAAACATATTGGACAAAAATTTTCAACTTCATATCTCACCCCAAGGCTCACTCCATCTGCAACTCCAAAAATTATTTCAACGAGTGTATCCCCCAGAGGGTATTCTGCCGTTGCTTCTCCACAGATAATGTCTGGTTCAACTTCTCCAACAAAACCCTCATATGATGGACGTATTGCACTATCTCCCTGGTACCCGTCAAGCCAGCAGTCTTCCGCAGCAAGTTCTCCTCCTCGTGCTCGTCAACTGGCTGGTAAAAGAAGTGTTATCTTTTTCTTTTGAAGATCACGACTTTCTTGAACTTTTTGAAGCATGATCTGCAACTTTTACATCTGTGTGTTTATTTTGATGTGGACTTTCTCATTCTTCGTGGCCTCTTTATCTATTACTGCAACTATTTAAATTTTAGATGTCCCCTCGGGATGAAGTTTTCAGCTATTCCCGTGCCTTCTTTTTGTCACTATCTTTTTATCTTTTGTGCTTATACGTTGTAGGTCGCCCTGCTCGTGTTGATGGCAAGGAATTTTTCCGCCAAGCCAGGTTGTTTTCATACTCCACTGTGAATCTGTGTTTAATGAAATTATAAATAGAAAAGAACATGTAGACTGATGATTTATAATCCCATTCAGGAGTCGCCTGTCATACGAGCAGTTTAGTGCCTTTCTTTCAAACATAAAGGAACTCAATGCTCAAAAGCAGACTAGAGAGGTAACTTTATCAGTTTCTTCTAACAATTTGCCATGAACTTATATCTTGGGCATTCTTTTTTCACTGCTAAATAATTTCGACTGCTTTGCTTCCAGGAAACTTTAAGAAAAGCAGAAGAGATATTTGGGACAGATAACAAAGATCTTTTCCTGTCATTTCAAGGATTACTTAACCGCAATGTTCATTAGGCCTGTCTGTACTTGAGACTGTTTACACCACATAGGACTCTCTCCTTTTAGATTTTTAGAGGGCAAATCCAAAAAAGGCTGTTCCCAACGGCTCTCTTGCTCTCTTGCTCTCTCTGAAGGCTCGTTTATGCTGCATGCAGATTCTTAGTTTTTGTTCGTATCCTTTATTGCGACTCTATATGTAAAATATGCAATCTCAAAACCTTTTGTAGTTGTTGAAACTTCTCTTTTGTGGCAGAAACAGTGATTTTTCTTAGATAAGACAAAGAGTGACAGAAACAATAGATCTTGAGGGGGAAAAAGGGAAAAATCAGATGGCTTTCTTACCTTCATCATGTGGTGTGTACCCTTCTGAAGCTGCAGCTGTGAGCTGTCTCTATGATAACTCTATTTGGGGGAAGTTTTACTTTCAGTTTATGTTCTCACTTTAATTACCCATTGGAAGAACCCAACAAAGCCCTGCTGTCAAATTTGCATTTAAAGGAGGGAATTCAGTTTGATCTGACTGAAAGACAGCAACTTGTTTATAATATTTGTGAAATAGAAGAATCAGAGCTTCCAAGAGAACCCAGAAAAGTGAGATGATGATGATGATCACCACCATCTGCTCCAAAATCAGCGTACATTCACTTCACTTGCAAGCTGTCTGCTGCTGCTCCATTACAGCACCAACTTACTTATCAGGCTAAGTACCAACTTTGGTGGGATTGATATGAAATTCTGAATTATTAATTGGTGATTCAGAAGGTTCATTCCAGGTAAAACTAATGTTTCGTTTTGAGAAGAAAAGTATTCGGTTTTGCTTTTGCTAAGTTATCATCTTAGTCCTTATCGTTTGTGTTTGGTTTCAATTTAGTCAGGATTAAATATCTCAAAACGTTTTACCATTGTCGGCTGTTAACAGAGACTTTTTTCTGGATGTAAAACATAGAGACAATCCTTTTGATTGCCAAATTAGAAAAGTTTCTTTTGGGTAACGTCTTTAATGTATGATATTAACAACTAGAAGAACTAAAAAATTCAAAATTCAAAGCTATATAGAGGCTAGTGCTGAAATGTTAATTGATTTTTACTTTCCCCAATTGAAGTGAAGGAAAAATTAGCAGTTTGCAGAAAAACAAATTTGAAGGAAGAGAAAAATTGATTGTACAAGTGATGGGATTGAAAGGGTAATCAGAAAGCACCCGATACTCGTAGCCTTTACTATAAATATTTAAAATTCGATCCATTTTTTGTTTTTTTTTTCTACTTTCGAGGCACATAACAGGCAGACCCAAGATAAGATTTTGGTCAAAAGAATCTGCAAAAATGGCTGTCACACTAGTTTGATAAGATTGAGGTTCTCTACTTGTTCGCTCACTTTCACCATAAATATATTCATATAATATATTATATGTTTGGTTTTGATACTTTGGTAGCCTTGCTCTAAAGGCATCTCTTTTCTACACATGGAAACTGGAGCTGCTCTGAAACTCTCTCATCTCATATCATATAAAAGTGAGAAATGAAAATCAATTTTATTCAAAGTGTTAGAAAGTTACCCAACTTTCAGACACAGATGTTTGAAGTTGAATTCTTTTTGGAACTTTAGGGTGAAATGTGTATTGTTGTGTGCAGATTTGATTGGGTATTGGGTGTAATTTTCTAATTAATGAATCAGAACTTTTGTTTAGTGTCCATTGTTATTTTTCTTTCTTTTATCCCTACCTTTTTGACTTTTGTGAAATGCATACTTTGATATCGAAAGGTTCTTCGTAACTGTGAATCTACTTGTCGAGATGTCATTCGATTTTAAATTCTCGATCATATGTGTTAGTGTAAGAACAATTAAAATTTAACTTTATTAACCAAGACTAAAATATACTTTTCTCCACCTTTCAATTGAGTTTCTACTTATTCTATTCAATGTAGTCTTAAAAGTAATTTCAACATTATTACTCCTAAACTTATGAATTATTGTATTAAAAAGGCTGATACTTTGAAATTTATTTTAAAGAATGATTGATAGTATATTACATAAAACTTATAAAATTATACCATGTCTCCACATAGTTTGTAAACATGGTATATAAATAGTTAAACAGTTGCATCATAATTTTTTAAGAAAATAAATCATACAATGTCACATTATATTACTTGTAATAAATCCTACGGTATAGGTAAATATCCAGGACTCGTATACGTTACACATTCTTATTATCTCACCCATTAACCCTCATAAATTTCATGTCCCAATTTTTGTAACCAATACTTTTGTTACTTTATAAATAGTGATGGTACGAAACCTTCCTAAAATACATCTTATTATACAAGTTGAATAGAGAAATCTCACCTTTGCTCTTTACTCTCTTATCCTCATCTCTCTCTAGTGTTCCTTTATGTTTTTCTTGTCTTTTTTTCTTTTGTTAGTTTTATAACATTACCGATCACTTTTCATTAGAACTTTTTTTTCCTTAGTACAAAGGGTATTTTTGAAACTTTAAACATGCTAAAAGACCAATTTATATTTGTTCTTTTGAGTACAATACTAAAAGGCCAAATTGAAGATAGTCAAATCTAGCTCCACACTCACAACTGTTTACACATCATACTAATTAGTGTAATTTCTCTAAGTTTTCACATGATTAAAGAAAGAGCAAACAGAAGACAAACTGTACTGTTGAATTGGTTCTTTTGGCATTTCTTTATGGTCAAAAACAAGAAAATATAGGTAGCTAGGCCATTCAAAGCTTTGGTCTGTCCACATGCAAAATTTATAGGGAAATGGCTTTTAGATAATCAACCAAAAAATAAATATAAAATAGGAAGAACCCTATTCTCTTCTCATGCAAAAACTAAGTTAAAATCAGTCCTTCCTTCCAAAGGACATCTAAAAATGCACTGTTTGTCCAAGAAAACAAGGACATGAAATAGGCCCCATTTGAAGGAATATTATTTTTTATCCCTTTTCAAGCCTATTTAATGGCAAATGCCATGGAAAAGAAAAGAAAAAAAATGATAGGTAATTAAGAAGAAGCCTTCAGATTTGGGGATATATTGTTGTACTTTGACATGTTGATGATGCTCTACAAATATATTGTTGCAAAGGCAGACCCATGTGTTAGATTCTTTTGTTGCCCTATTTTTATTTTTAATTTTCCTTAAAGAAAAATAGGGTTTCTTTAAGTTCTTTTAGCAGTACTTAAGTCTGAATACCACTTTAATATCTGTACCAAGAATACTATTCCCACGAGGCCTGCCCATTGCCCCTTTTTCAGGGTTCTTCTTCATTCACCTTTTTCATTTTTATAATAATACTAACAAGTAACACATACGACGCCCGTAAAATTTATCATTTTTTTTACTAAATGCAAATCTCTCCCACTCAATTCTTCTTGTTTTGTCTCTCTCATTTCTAAATACTATATCTCTCCATCTTTACAAAATTCTCTCTCTCTTGATATACACCTCTCAACATTTCTCTCTCTAAATATTAACTCTCAATCTTTACGAATTCCAAATAGTGGATGGGAAGGAAAAATATTGAAAGGATTAAGAGAGATATATAAGTGAAGTCTTAGAAAGAGAGAAAATTATTTTGAGAAGGTGGAATTTGTAAAGGTGGAGAGAAAATATTTGAGAAAATAATAAAAAAAAGGAGGAGAGAGAATTGAAGAGGCGGGTTGCCAACATAAGCTTAGCTCAACGATAATTGTGATCTATGTCTAATCAAGAGAATCAAGAGTTCGAACCCGCCATCCCACTTGTTGTACTAAAAAAAAGAGGCAGGTTGCGTGGGGGAGGGAGACAACGCACCACAAACACAAAGCCACGAAAACATGTTTAAGATTAATCAACAAAATAGGGAGATTGAGCCTCTATATACATTGTGGATATTAATATAAGAATCATGATCATATTTTCATCCCTAATTGTGGATAATGCACATTAATTAATTAGTTTATATTAGGCTAATTAAGCTCTCTTTTCTCTTAAATAGTTTTGGTGTCAAAAGTGAATAATGTTATGGTTTTGGAATTTTTGTTGTGAACAATAAACAGGGAAAATAAAGATGCTGAGTGTGGGAAAGTTGCAGCCCTAGTTTTACGGTCAGCTGACCGAGCTGCCCAAGACAACTTGCCTCAAACTTTCAAGCCTCTCTCTTCAGCTCTTTCTTCATATTTGCAATCTATAAAAGTTGGATGCTTAAACTAAAGCCTTGGGGTCGAATAAAGATCAAATTTTTTGAGACCCCAACAGAGAATTTTCTCTCATTTTCTCTCTCTCTAAGATCTTCCATGGCTTCTTCGTTTCCTCAATTCTACTCGGAGCTGCTTTATCCCAACAATTTTTCAGATGGAATGTTGGGAATTAGAAGCAATAATATGGAGTTGGCCGGAGGCGAGGAGGGTTTGATTCCTTCCTTCGATCAGACGACGGTGTCGCCGGTCCCCGACCACCCCGATGCCCTTCTCGCAATGCCTTATCCCGACCCCTACGGCTCAGTCTCCGACATGACCGTCCCGACATTGCCTGATCAGTTTAACATGGGTTTGTGTAGCATTCATAGTTTAGTCGGCGGCCGCCACCACCCTCCGGCCATGGCCGCCACCACTGCATGTGACTTCGGCGATGAGCTCTTCAGCTTCGTGCCTGATTTCAAGCCCCTTTACCACGATTCCTGGGTAATTTGAACTCTCAATCTTAACTATCTTGCAGAAGCTTCTATATCTTTCAATTCTAAAAGTGTAGGACAAATATCCTTTGTTTTTGATTTCTTGGCTCCACTTTTTGTATAGAAACCAAAAGGGCATTAAAAAAATTACTATCATGCAGGTTACTCAAAGTAATGAAATGCATGGGGTGGAAGAGACCAATATTAAGGTGGCCAGCCGCTACTCAGAAGAAGAAAGGAAGGAGAGGATCCTCAGATATTTGAAAAAGAGAAACCAGAGAAATTTCAACAAAACCATCAAGGTGAAACTTTCTATCTCGAAATACAATTTTGAAAGTTCAGAAATTTATTAAAGTTTTTATTGGAAAAATTTAGAGACTAAACTTATAACTTAACCTTTTACATTTACAGTACGCATGTCGTAAAACCCTAGCGGATAGACGAACTCGAGTTCGAGGAAGGTTTGCCCGGAACAACGAACTGTGTGACCCGGAACTAATGGCTCTCAAAACCAACCAAATTAGTAGCCCCTCTCACAACCTTAAACAACAAAGAGAAACGGTGAGAATATCAAATTTTACAGTCTTATTTTACAAGAAATTTATAACCCTTTTCACTTATATGGCAAACCATCAGAAAAAAAGAAAAAAAAAAGATCTTTTTCAGATGAGTGGACCATTTTTCTTACCATATTTTGTTTGGCTTGTGTTTTCTTTTTGGACAGAATAAGGAAGAAGAAGAGAGCTGGCTGCAAGAGTTGGCAGCAAGTCTAATGTATTTACCTTATGTGACAAATTACAGTGGGCTTGGGGTGTAATAATTTCACAATCATTACATTTACCAAACTGTAAAATTTGATCGGATCCTCTACTTTCGACTAACTATTTTTTTTCCCTTCTCTCTCAGCTCTCTCTTATTTAGTCCTTATATCTCATGCAAATTAGTTCCAAGCGCCAAGAAGAAAAAATTATATTAAAAAAAAATTAAGTCGACAAAAATTTTCACTCTCATTTATCCCGTGGTGAATTTTTAGAATTGAAATATTATATGTATAAAAAGTTATAATTCCATAAGATTTCTTAACTTCGATCATCTTAGAGCCTTCATCTGTATTTGTCATGAAATTAGTGAGTTTAGAATGAAGTTTAATCTTGTTGGGTGTTTTGGGTTAAAAAAGATTTTGGGATTTTGAAGTGAAAGAGGTGATTTTGTGGGGGAATTAGACAGCACTAAGAGTTGTATAAGAGCCCAAGTGGGGTGTGGGTGACTTATTCTGTAGGTGATTTATTGCCTTTTGCCGACTCATTTGTAATTTGGTGGTTGAGAACCCATTATTCAGATTCCTTTTCTAGTACAGGAACACCTATCACCCGTTTCAAAAGATCTTAACGGGATACGAATCATATGGAGTTGAATCTATCACTACGGAACTCAAAAACTTAGGCCGATAATAAGTTATTTTAATAGTTAATATCATTTATTAATATTTTAGTAGTCTTGCGAGCGCTGTTAGTTAATTTGAAGTGGGCAATATGATCATACGACGGTAGATAAGAGCCAAATTCTGGTAGATCAGGAGATACAAGTTTTCTTGGTTTTTCAAGCCTATTTAGGACCCAAGATATATATGCCGAACTTGTTTGAAACTATTTAGACCCAAGAGTTTAAAATCAAAAGTTTGTATAAATAAGTGTCAGAAGGAAATAGCTAGTATTTCAATATTTTCACAATAATGCGATATTAATGGTTGATTTGGAATTTAAATCCAATTAATTTTGTTTATAATTTCACTCAAAATTATCATATATCGATAGAAATAGTGGTGAATCAAGAATTTTTTGTTCATATGAGATCGACTCCCCTCAATGAAAAATTTATAACCTTTATTAGGGATATTAGTTCATAAAATATAATTAATTTTAGACGCATAGAACTATATTGATATTAATTAATAATATATTTTTTATATGAAGTAGTTAAACTAAATTTGGTTATGTCGGAAAAAAAAGTTCTAATAGATCATTGACTTTAAAAATAATGTAATAAATTTGGTATATAAGTTAGTTATATTACAAATTTCTAACCATAATAATTATGATTATCACTAATATATTACGTATATACAAGTAATGAGAATCTAATATAACTAATATTTTAATAGGTGGTATCTTAATTTAATTTAATTATATATTAATGTTCTTCTCAGTTATTTAATGGAAGAGATCTTATAAAAATAGCCAAATAAGTAAATAATGAGAGAATAGTCACAAAATATATGGTATGCAACTGGACGGACAGATCAGACCAATCACCCAGAAACATAAACATGGCTGTTTTTAATGGGCTTTATCTCGCCACCACTCTCCTCTTTGTATAGAGTTGACTATTAAATGCTGGTTTATAACGTTTTTATTTTTTTTTTCTTTTTTTTTCTTATTGATAAACAGATAGGTTGGGTAACTCGTACTCTTTGTTGTTTCTAAATTTTAAAAAATGTTTTAAAAAAACCTTAAATTTTGGAAACTATAAAAAGTAATTTTGTTCGTTCTGTTACTGTTTCTTGATCTTATATATTTTTTTTTTCTGGGGAAATTTCTTAATCTTAGATTAAATAATAATTACTGTGTATCGAGTTTTCCAGCCCTGTGGTTTAGGTGCCCACCTGAATCTCACCAATAACGAAATAATAATCGTGTTTTGTATTTTATATTTTTTTCTTTGATATATTTTTGTGTTTTTTATATTTTATATTTGTTGTGCTTTTGACTTTTTTTATCTTTATATTTTATATCTTTTTGTTTGTTTATATTTTCTATATATATATATTCTTATTTTTTTATAAAATAATTTTATTTTAAATAAAAAATATTTTACAAATTCATTCTTTATTTAAATCTAATAATTTAGCAAAGAAATTATATTGTACATTATATATTTTTAGTGAATTATATATTCTTCAATATATGTCATATCTTTTTATATCATATCTACTAAATTTTATTTTAACTAAAAATAAAAATAAATTAACATGAGTTAATATATATATTTTCAGTCAAGAGGTCGTGAGTTCGAATATCTATTCTCATAAGTTATTGTACTAAAAATAAAAATAAGAAAAAGAACATAAGTATTCAAAACACATTTTGTAAACAAGAAAGAGAAATAAAAAACTCCAAACAGGAAATAAAAAACGAGAATGTTACCCAACAGATCCTATATTTCCTCCCACTCAAAATTTTGCAATATAAAGAATGATATTGATCCCATATGTATATTTGTTCTCTCAAAAATTGAAAATTCACTGGAGATATTTCATGCCCAAACGAACCAGTATCATATTTTCGAAACTTCAAATCAAAAACCCTTTTGCCCAAACTACCAAAACTTGATTCATTTTCTTTTGGATTAATTTAAATAAAATTGCTAAAACTATAGTCAAAGTGGGTTATGATTTATGAATAATGTTTCAATCATATAACTCCAAGAAATTAATTAAAGAAAGGTAAAGATCTCTGCCACTTGGTGCTTTTATAGATGACATTCATGAACTTGCTATATTTTTATTTGATATATATATAGGGTAGGATATATAGGTGATATAGGGGATGGTAGTCGGGCATTGATTTCAAGGTTTGTTATTATGAATATCTTGTCAAAATTCAACCTTTAGAGTTCATAGGAGTAGTCCAAATTAAAAGTGAGTTTTGTAATAAATTCTTGGGAGAAATTTTTTGTAAGATGGAGTTTGATTGATGATGGCTCAGGCTTGGTAGGTTTTTTTTGACTTTAAATGTTGATTCAAGAAAGCAAATTATGATGCATCCTCATTTGTGTGGAATCTGAGAATGGAAAAAAAAAATGTTTATTTTTGATCAGTTGAAGTTCATGCGAGAAGTGAAAGCAAAATGTGACAACTTTAATTTCGTCAACATGTGTAATTTTCTTTTTAATCAGTTGAAATGATTGAGAATACTTAGTGTTATGATTTATTTTTTGAAAAAATGCATTGTATAGTTGAGATATTTTTAAAAGATTTTATTTTTTTAATATGATTTTTCTCTCCATTACTATTACTATTGCATACGTTAATTAATAGTTTCTCGCGAGTTTAGTCCTAAACTTTAATTTTAAGGTTATATTTAGAAAATATATAATATGACTCGAAACTTTTAATATTGTATCTAGGTCTTAAATTAAAAAAAATGTTTAATAAGGGTGAACAATTTCATGTCTCTATGAGAGCAAAATAAAGATTTTAATACTATTTTAGTCTTTTTTTCAGTTTTGATTTTATTTTGGTCTATACATTCAAAACATTTATTTTTTATATGTACTTCTTTTAGATTTTGTCCGTTTTAGTCTTTGTACTTTTGAAATGTCTACTTTAATTCCTGTACTTTAAATGGGACTGTTTGGTATTCTTTTAACTTATTTCTCATCTCACATATTTTTTTTTTTATATTTGACATTACATTCAATAAATTTATTTAAATGTAGTCATAATAATTTTGTACTACAAAGTTTCCATGATATATAAAAATTTGTATTAAAAAATTGCATGCAATAATTAACATAGTCACTTTTTAAAAATAAAGGACTAAAACAGAGTCTTGAAAGTACTACAATAAACAATAAAACAAGATGGAAACTACACAACCCAAAATAGAAGAAAACTTAAAATACATGATGAACCAAAATAGTATTTCTAGTAGGCCGTATTCTAAGACTTCAAAACTAACAAATAGTGCAGAATTGGAGGAAAAAAATGCTCATAATTGTCCTTGAGTGATGACATTTTGTGCAATAATACAAGATCATAAAAGGCATAAATAATTAAATCTGACACCTGAAGTTAGCATGTTGATTTGTGAATTTTACTGTGTTCATCAAGTTAGTTAGTTACTAACCACGGAATAATTTTGGTATTTTAGAAAGAGATCAGTAGAACTTTGTTCATTATTAATGTTCATAATCACATGTCAATCTTTGTTTCTTAAAAAACAATTCGCCTTCAAGAATCCATAATTCTACTCAACAATCATGTCAATCTTGAGAAGTCAACTGCCAATTCAGTACAGAAATTAATTGAAAATCATCCACTAGAAAGTTAGGAAAATAAATAAATAAAATTGAAGAAAATGGCCTAGAAAGGCACACAATTTATGTAAATTATTTTTGGACAAATAAATCGCTCGGATTATAATTTGGGTCACAGTGATAGATCCAGAAAGAAGGTTCATTTCAAAATTGAGGGACTTGCCGGCCTTACACAGATCAAGTTGCTTAAATATTTCAATACTTATACTAGATATTGATTTTGGGTCGTCATTTTTGTAGCCAATAAAGTGCACAAACTGAATATGATAATCATTATTGTAACATATAAGTTTGTGTTGGACGTGACAAAATTCGGAGAAGCTAATGATTCCAAAAACATATGACTTTTCCTAAAAGAGATTGGCTAATGTTAATAATGCAACGGATCCACAGCTTGTCATGCTTAGAATTTCAATTTTCTTTTTCTATTCGATTCATGTTCTTTTCACATAATGTGGAAATGTGTGTGCGCATGCTTCTTATAATTAACTCAAAATTAGGGTCTAAAATTTCAACTACAGACTCTTCTTCTTCATATAACTGTATGATTCTCTTGCACAAACCTAATCTTTAGAAAAAAAAAAAGTTTTAACTAACAAGATAATTAAAGGATCTCACCGGATCTTGATCCTATGATCCCTTTTTTTAATTAATGAATTAATTTTTAATTGTTTGCATAAACATTTAGCAAGAACAAACATGTGGGCCTCAATTAAGTCAAACATTAAAAAAAAAAGACACAATAATTTGATTATTTAAACTAAAAACATATAGAAATCTATAACAACTCTCATAATTAATTACATTAATGTTTACGCATTTACAATATGGTTATCAATCATCATAATGATCTCCGCGTAGGCGCCTAGGCGCTGTTTTCTTTTCTACAAAGTTACATATATGTAAATTAAAAGAGAAAAAAAAAAGGAAAAAAAAGCAGACGTACAATAAAGCAAGCCCATTATAATGATAAAAGAAAGCACATTATAATGATAATTTGGAAAAAAAAGGTGAAGGCAAGAGAGCGCACGCCTAAGGCTTAGATTAATTAGCTAACACGACGACCATAAGGACTCCCCCATGTTGTCGTGGCCAACCATGTCCATGGTAAAAAAGGACTTGTTTTGCGCCGGAATGTTCAGCTTCCCGGCAGTTTCCGGTGAGTGGGCGGCGCTCGGAGTGGAGGTAGATGGGAATTGGCGCATCCGCATGTGAACCACCTCCGCCTGCGCGATTGCCAGCTGCGTTTGCAAGAGATCGATCTGTTGCTGCAGCGACGATATGGCTCCGACACACCCATACACTGGATCTCGCATCCTTGCATTCGCTTCGTACACCATCGAGCTCACCGCATCGCTCCGTTGGTGTTCTGGCAATTCCTACTCATTGACATATATATTCGTCAACTCTAGTGACACTAGTAACATTAAAAGTATGAAAAAAAATACCAATTCTATAATTTTAAGGTAGATGTCATTATGACGTCAAAGTTACATAAATAATATTGCCTTATGGTAATAAAAAAAAACATTTACAATAATCTTACCCTTTCTTTTGGAGCTATTACACGACCAAAAAAGCAAAGCGGGAAAAAAAAAACCTAGGCAGAGGCAAGCTTTTTGTTGTCGCCATGGACCCAAACAAAAGAAGGGAAAAAAAAAAGAAAGCTTCAGGTTTGTATTGTAATTTCTCCAAAAGCTTTAAGCTTAATGGAGCATAAAGTGGAGATGATAAAATTAATTAATTATAATTAAAACATTATATTTGCTTTTAATGTGTGATGTGGTAATTAATTAAAGGGAGAGTTTTGATTTATTATATAGTACAAATTAATAAAATGATCCCTTTACTCTTTCATACGCCAAGGAATCTCCTGGGGTGGTCGTCCAACTGATTTTTGGCTCTGCTTTTTGAAAAAGTAGAAAATTTGGTAGACTTGGGCTCTTCTCTTTTTTCCACAAAGGGTGGGCTCCTCAACTGTAATTAACCACTATAACTGAAAATAAAACAAATTCTAAAAAATCGTAGTGTTTCATTTGTTCACACTCTAATTTTATCTTTATAAATATTATAAATTATTTAGAAAAGTTGAGAAAATAAATATGGTTTTAATTTTTTACTAACGTAAAAGAAAAGAGAAAGGGACGTTTAATAATCTTGTCGTGGCTTATAAGTTATAATCCAACTTGGAAAAAAAAAAAAGATAGGAGAGAAAAAGATGGAACACCATTGAAAGCAAAAGCCAAACGTCATGTCGATTCCCCAAGTCTTTTTTTTTCTTTTTCCTGTTTTTTTCTGCTGTTTAATTTTCTATGTAACGTGAAGAAATTAGCCTACCTAGTATGTTCTTTTGTCTGTGGGAGCGGTTTTGTCGATTTGTGAGTGTTTGTTGTCGGTATTTTTCAATTGTTCATACTATCAAAGACAATTCAAACAGAAGTTTGCCCTCCCCTGGAACCAAACGTCTAATTTATCTAACATTAAGCATTACTCTAAAACAGAAAAAAATACGAGCAATGTGACTGACAATCTTACAATCGAACCTGTAACATTTTGTTGACGTTGCTGGCTCCGAAGACCTTGTGGACGCTGGCGAACTTGTGGGGCTCGTCGGCGGGAAAATAAGGGGCGAAAACACAGTCGTGAGCGCAGCGGCGCCGGAGGAGTTTGCAGGCTGCGCATGGGGAGAGAGTGCCTTGTTTTCTTCCACTACTCTCCTTCATTTGGTAATATAATAATCTAGCTATAATTGATCAAATTATATATGTTATATATAATTTGAAAGGGTTTAGAAAAAGTTCGAAAGGGTTTTTAGAATCAGAAATTCAGAAGGGGAGAAATTAAAGAGGGAGGGGATGGTGGATGTTATATAGAGAAGTGACGGCAAATCTTTCGAGGGTCCTACCAAAGAAGGAACTCTTTAGATTTTTTTGCCTCTTTAACACAAAAAAGAAAAAAGAAAAAAAATTCTATTTTTTATTTTTTATTTTTATTTTCTTTCTATTTTGTTTGGGTTGAGAAATGAGAAGATCTTTCTTTTGCCCCCACACATTAAATTATGATATTTTGTCTCCCTCCTCCTCTCATTTTTCCAGTTTTTTTTTTCTTCTAATTTAAGTTTTTCAACATTACCCACTTATTACCATTTTTATAGTTTTTTAATTTATTTATTTTTAATTTTGGACTTGTTAAAAGAACTTGACCACATGCTATGAATTGTTTTATAATTTTCATTAACTAATTAATTTATTCCATGTCAAGCATATTTCGGTACCAAATTAACAATCTGTGTCTTTTTTTCCCATATTAATTTAAACTTGTTGATTTGATGTCATTAAGCACCAAATCCGCCCATAAATTGTTGGATTTTTGTAAATATATATACTAATACTTTTCCTATGTATCTTCTAATTTTTTGCTTTTTTTTTTTTACAATAAATTCCGAGGTTTGATCACTTTGATAGTTCAATTATATTGTCTATTTAAGAGATTTTTAGGTGGGCATTTACTATTTTGAGGTTTTATTTATTAGGTACAATAATATGTGGGGATTAATTTTTTAAACTATATTATATATGTTTTGAAACTTTGAATAGGACCTGAAAATTTTTTTTTCCTAAAGAATATATACACGATAGGTAAATTCTTAGTTAAACAAATTACTCTTCAAAAACATATATAAACCTACCCGAATCGGCCTTTAATAAAGTTTTTTTTCTTTTTCAAATTTGAACTTCGTAAAGATGTATTTGAAATGTTAACCAATACGAAAGCCTCGTTGAAAAACAATTTTCTACAACAAAATATATTTTTAATAATAATGGTTAGATGGGCGTTCATAATCTTTTAAAATTAAAATATTTACTAAATTACTAAGATTTTATTATAATCTTAATCAAATTTTTTATCTACACAGAATGGTATATAAAAATGAATTTAACAAAACTTTGACGAAATAAACTTCAAAACCCCACTTTTTTTTATTTTTTCCTGGGCATATATGTCTTTCTCTACATTCTCCAGGTACGATTTCCCCTCTTTATTTCCCTTCTAATAATTTAATAGTACGGAACTAAAATCGGATTCCACAGAAAAACACAGCTTGAAGCTTAAGCTAATTTGGTCGTTAATTAAATGTCGTGGATATATTTATAAATTGAAATTGGCCGGGGCTTTTACGTACATTTCTTTGACAAAACCAAAATTAAATATATTTAATAATATATATAAAAAAAAAGGTTTTAAAAAATTGAAATACTAACCTCCAAAAGAAAAAGATACGAACGACAAGATTTGGAATCCAAACTGACGAAAGAAATACACGTGCTTAAGATCGTTTGCATATGCTCTGTGATCTCACTGATGTTAATGGAAATTTTTATTAATTATCTATTTTATGCTTTTTTATATTATTATTCTTTTTTCAAGCAAGTTACATCACTTGGATGCGAATTTCAAATTAATGATATTTATTAGTCTAATCTTCTCATTGGTCAAATTGGGTGCTATAGTCTTAAAAGAGCTTGAAAATGAATTATTTTTTATTTTTTGATTTAATATTTTATGAAGTAGACCACTCCAATTAATAATAAATAAATTTGGTGGAGGGAAAAAATGTTTCGGTAAAAAGTAAAAACCATGGGCCATTTAGACCACCTTATACAGTAACTCTTGTTTTATATGTCGATATTCAGAAAATAAAGATTGAATTAATATTCAATAATAGTGAAATTGAATATTCGAGAAGGACTCGTTGTGGGNAAAATGTTGTTCTTGTTAGATTTGAAATTTTTCTAAGGAATTAAAGATGCATCGTGTGGTAATTATCTTTCTTTGTTTTGTAGTGATGCAAATTTGATAGATCCAAAAAGTAAAGAAATTTAATAAAGTTTCATAATTTTTTAAGCATTCAAGGTTCCTGTTATCTCTTCTTCTTGTTTTTTCTTTTCTGAACACAGTGTTAGTCAAATTGTTTAGTATTTGTCACATAAATTCAGAAAGGTAATATTACGATCTTATCATGTTAATTTCGTTGAACAAATTATTGACCAATAAAATATGGTTAGATGCATTTTTGTCCAATAGATTTTGTTTTTAATATAACAAATCGGTAGAAATATTGGAAACCTCCCCGTCAATGAAGGAGGAGATGTTAATTACCATTAAATTATTTTCAGGTTGATAAATTAAAAATAATTTAAACTTACAAAATGTAACAAAAGTCAAACGAGTAATTACAGTCCACCTTTGAGATTAACATATTTCCACCATACTTTTTAACTAAATTAATATCTTAAAATTGACTTAAATTATCACGATGAACCTAGCTCAACTAGTTAAGAAATTGTTTATCTAACTTTTTATTAAAAAGGGAAAGTTGATTAATTTCTTCCACTATTTGTTGAACTGAAAAAAAATTGTTTTAATCTATTGAACCTATGATATATCTCTCTAGCTATCATTCAAATAAAATGTCACATTAAAAAATTCAACTATAAAATTCTCCTCTAATGCAAGCTATGGACGTAGGTTTATGGTAAAGTTTAATGAAAGGATGTATAATCATAAGTGTGAAACTTATGAAAGTTTAAAAATCAACAAGATCGAGAAGCTAAAAAAAGGAAATTTAGGTTGACCTAAAAGATTTACAAAATAGGCAAAAGGAAGTAAAAAGTGTAGCATAAAAAACATTAGTTACATTAATACAAAGTTTTATTAAACAAATTATTAAGTCGGTTAGACGTGTCGGTGGTGGTTTTTTTAGAAAGAAAGGGAAATATGGGTTGGCAACAAAATCAAGGCAATTTTCTTGTTTTTAGGTGATTATTCCAAGTACCAATATAAGCTGATGCGATGGCAAAAAATTTCTAATTGTTTTTGTTTTATTTTCTTTTGTTCACAAATGATCAAGTTAATTGATTTTTTAAAGCGTCTCTACGATTATTTCAAAAAATAATTTGATGCAAACGATAGTATAGAAACTTTCTATTTACTTTTCCTAATATAATTGATGGATTATTCAAAAAATATATGTTGATGCAATTTTTTGGAAGCCGATCGGATCGGGAGTCAGTGAATTAGATCGACCATCGATTGATCAAGTTGAGGTTGGGTCTAGTTAAGAGAAGCCGATCAGACTCGATAGATAGGTTGTGAACAGGGGAAGGATGAGATCTTATTGTTTGGAAGACCGAAAGAGTAGATAGTCTTCATAAGACCTTGGCTTTGGAAGTTAATTAAGGCGAAAGCGACCTGCAAAAAGAGAAGATGAATAGATGCCGACATGGTGTCGGTCTACCACACTTCGATGCTTAAGTCCGTATACGAGAAGGAGAGAAGGAAATAGTGGCTTGAGAGATCAATGGCGTACCTTGAAAGGTTGCATCTATTACAAATTTATAGGGCTTGTGGGAAGTTCGTATACCACGTGCATTGAGCCATGTCAAAGGTAGGCAACACTATTGCATAGGTTGAACCCGTGTTTGGCTGCACTATGAGCTGGCCGTGCTAAAGCGATGCAATGCTATATATACTGCTGGTTTCGCTATATTTTAGCGCATGACTGCACTATAGTAGGAGCTACACTATTGCGTGTGATCGGTTGCGCTATGTATCGATCGCATGCGTAGTCGTACTATTTGCGTGTCTTGTTGCGCTATACGCCGGCTGTGTATTTGGCCACGCTAAAGCGTTGCTGGGCACCTGGTTGCACTAATAGCACGCTATTTTAATGCACGAGCTGCACTATGTGAAGGCCGCGCAATACGCATGGTCGTTCTATTTCCACCCTATGTCGTGCTAAAATGGCTCTGCCAATATATATACCGCAACTTTAGTGTATTTTTTAGTGCATCCCTTAGCACATCCTATAATGCACTATTTAGCATATCCTAYAGTGCACCATACATATATATATATCCTTTGAGGAAAAACCTTTCGAGGATGATTTTCTGAAGAGATACCCTATAGTTTAAACTTTTAATAAATTTACTTTGAATAAAATAAATATATATATATATATATAATTCAGGGCTATTGATGAAGTATTAGTGAAGAAAAATAGACTCATTTAGAATCCGTTGCAAGAAATATTTTAACTCTTTTTTTTGGGACGAGTGGTTGGACTTCTAATATTTTGAATAAATCATGTTAAGATGAATTATATTTTAACTCTTAATTGATAGGACTAGGTTTTATATAGTTTAGGTTCGAGCCTCACTCATTTTGACGTATGAGTTTATTTAATCCAAAATTATTAATTTACTAATTCTCTCTTGAATTATAGACTTTTTGAATCCACCATTTAACGTGCACATGTTATAACTATTGTAGTGTTGTCTGATTGATCCAAATGAGCAAAAGTAAATTCTAAAGAGTTTTAGAAGGAATATGTCAAACCTATGTAGATAGTATTTTAATATCCCATGAGTTTATTCTTAGTAATCAAATGTGATTGGGTTAAACAATATCTCGTAAGATTAATTGAGGTGAGTGTTAGTTGACCCAAATACTCACTAATATAAAAAAGATTACATGTACATGTTGCAATACAAATTAGTAATTATTTTACTTTTTAATTTTCAATTTTTGAAAATTAAACCTATAAAAGAACATTTTTCATCTTTTTAAAATACGTTGGGATTACTGCTAAACTCTAACCTTAAAAGAAAAGGTAAATTTCTTTATTTTTTTTTAGCTATATTCACGTGGGTAATTAACAATATATTCAACTTGTGTGTTTCTTTATTTGGTTTATCCACTTTTTTAATAATTTCAAATTTGTAGTCAAAATTTGAAAACTAAAACAAATAGTTTTGTTTCTTTCTCGAAATCTACTTAAAAATCGTGAAAAGATATTGCAAAGAAAAAGTATATATAATTTTTTTAAAGAACAAAATACAATATAAAATCATTATCAAAGGAAGCCTACAAATTTAGACTTCATAGACCCGATGAACCACATCCCAAGATTTCTTTTTCAAATGGACACGTAAATTCCAAAATTAGGGTTCATCAAGAAGCACATGCATGCATATATATATTATCGTATTTATAATTCCTAATAATGTAGGGTTTGTTGATGGGAGCCCTACACAAAAGAAATTTGGGTTTTAAAATAGACTCTAATGGCTGCAAAGAGGAAAAGTACGTACACTCCATCTTTCTAGCTATTATATTCTATAACGAAAAAAGAAAAAGAAGAAAAGGTAGTCTGAAATCACAATCACCAATCGGGACCTATTTTGTTTTAAACAACGGTGTGTCGAAGCCAAATATAATGGTCATATCAGGACTAATCCACACCGAAAGTACATATGTATTATATTAGGCAAGAAATTGAAAGCTTGAAAACTTAGTTTCTGGCCAGATGAAACCAAACAATATGTTGTTTGGTCATTATCATGTAACATATCGTGACCATTCCCATCCCATCCATATATATGTGTGATGGACAAAATATATATTATAGTGTGCCAAAAATTAATTACTAAGTTTCTTTAACCCAAGTTCAACTCACTTTACATTCTCATGTCTTGTCTCTCCAAAATTCATTAGCATTTCTCTTTGATTGGATATGGTCATTCTCTGATTGTGATTTTTAACATCATATTGCCATCACCAATCAGTCATCCCTCTCTTTGGTTGCCCCAAAATTAATTGTGCGTATTACGTTTTGTTTTAAGTTATATGATGTGGCGGTGTTTGTGTTCGATTTTAACAATTCCTCTTCTACCAACCTAACATATCTCAACTGTTTAAGATATAAATACATTTGACTAAAATGTTAGATGTTTGAATCTTAACTCCACACCATATTAGTATTATATTTGAAATAAATATATAAAACATACACCTTTTGAGCTCTTCTCTCTCTATGTTAAATCAAGTCATATTATTTTGATGTTTCGTAATTAAACCAATGGGTTGTGAGTGCTGAATATGAGCATAATTTGATTGGGTAAAGACATGACTTGCCTCCCTAAGTTGGGACGAAATTTGTCCCTAAAGGATATCTTGGGATTTCTTGGAATCTTGGGTTTGAGTCCAACTCCACCAAGTATATCCTATGTCTAGGGGTATAAAAGTCAAAGGACCGCTGATCCCTGGGTAATCAAGAAAAGAAAGTTTGGACGAAATTTGAAAAATTGCTTGTGAGTTTTAATGGAAACTTTCTTTTTTTTTTTTAATCAAGAGTTTATGATACGTTAAGAAAAAAACGTTAAAAAGATAATTTAGTGAGAAAATATATCGGTAGAGAGAGAAGTTAGATTGAGTGAAGTAGAAAAAGTCATAATATGAGGAGAAAATCAATTTTTACTCCTAGGCAAATTGTGTATCAATTATTATCCTACACTCTCTCAATTTCGTCAAATTGAACTATATACTAAGATCAGTATTACAATTTTTACATTACAAAATATGTTAAATTCTACTATATTTACCCACTCATTTTAACAATGGTAGGTAAAAAGTCTCCCGAAACTCTTTAATTCTAATACAAGCTAGTATGTAACGTCGTATACAAGATTAAGCTCCATGAATGCATTCTTTTCCCGAAAAAATAAAAAGTTTGGGAAGGCCAAAAAATCAACCATTGAATAAATCTTTCTCAACATTCACAAATTTCAACAATAATCTCGCTCTCGCTCTCGTGTCTATTTCTTTCAAGTTTCATCAATTTTCTTTAGTACAACATGTGGAAATTGGAGATTTGAACCTATGACTTTTTAGTGGCGTCTCAACTAGTTAAACTATATTCGGATTGGCTTCAATCTTCGTCAATGTTGCATTAGGCCTTGGTATTTTAATTATATATTTATACTTCAAAAACTTTTCAATAGAAAAAACATATTAGAAAGTAAATTGCAACACTAAACTAATTACATCATTTACCTAAGTCTAAAGTCTAATTTTCAGGAATAAAAATTGGTTATTTCCCAAAGTTTATTAACAGAAATAATTTGTTCAAAATTTCACATAATCCCCAACATACTCATAAGAATAAATTTGGTTTAATCAACATTATCATAAATTATAAATTAAAAAAGTAGAGAGGTTTGAGTAGACACGTTACGTTCATGATTGTGTTTTAAAGAGAATAAAAAACGCGTTGGCCTGAAAACCTTAACTACCAATTAATCCATCTAATCTGAATTATTAAGACAAATCACTTTTCCTTTTGTTCTTTTAATCACACATTAGTACCACTAATGAATCAACATCATCAATTTAGAGCTGACGTGGGAATCTTATCCATCGCCAAGGAAATTTCATTTCTTTCATTATTATATATATCATATTAATAAGACTCCTTGGCCTATCTTAAGATGATGTCCTTTTAGATTTATCAATTTTGGTCGAATCCTCATTTGAATTTTAGGCTCTGAAATCATATTAATATTCAAAGAGTTACATTTCAAAATTAATTAACAATAACAGAAGTAGTTTATGTATGTTATAAAATTTTGTTAGGTCTTTTATCTTTTCGATGTAAGATCCTTAACAAGATATTTATTTGTGTGTTTGGTTAAGATGATATTAAAAGTGATCTTAATCACACGTACGTGGTTCTCCGATCAATTGTTTTAGAATAAATTGGTTTTCTCAAATCACCAAGATGCTTAATTTTTCTGTTTTTAGACAAATACATTTTGGCTCTTTAACGGGTCAATCACTTTAGAATTATCTTTCTTAGAATAAACTTTAAAAGCAAATTTTCAAAAAATAACTTCAAATCAATTTGATTATTTTAGAAGTGATTATTAGTTCTTATCAAATCCTTTAAATTAAAAAAATAGAAAAAATAAAAAATATTTTAGATCTAAAAAAATATTAGAAAGTTAATCCAAACACAGTTCCGTATTTGGTTCAATGATTCGTTGATATATTTACAATTTACTCGGTTAATCTTTTTAATAATAAGGTTAAAATAATATATTGGTCAAGGTACTTTTAGTCTTAGTTTATTTTAATCAATGTATTTTGAAAGTGTTTATGTTGGTATCTGTATTTTCAATTTTGATTCACTTTAGTTTCTATACTCTTGAACTGTTCATATTTTTATATATTTTTAAAAAGCGACCATTTTGGTTATTTAGTTTTATTCTTAGTCTTTTTTTTTCTATCACAATTTCTACACGATACTGCAATTAATATATTTTTTAAATGGTAAACATTACTCATACTAACCCTCGCGTCAAGAAAGTTGATCAAATGATTTTAAATTTCGTGATTTGAAATCCGAGAAATGATTTTAAATTTTTTATCGTGTTTGGAACGAGAATGATTTGAAACGAATTAAATTAGATTTCTTTGTTTGGATGTTCACTGAAAATGAAAAGAAAATAGAAATTTTATTGATTTAGGTTTTTATTCTAAATTTATCAATTAGAAATTAAAATATGACGAGATTAAATAGGTAATTTATTTCGAAAGTCTATCAAATCCTCCAAAATCCGACCATTTTGATCTCAAAAACTTTTTAGGTAAAAATAAGATTTGAAATTCAATAATTCAAAAATATGTACTAGGAATTCATTTGAAATCCGTCATGATTTTAAATTCTTTCAAAATTTGAGATATCAAACATAGTATCAAACTTTCAGTTATGTGTGAAATTTGAGTTAAAATTAATAAAATAAATTAAAATTATACTTTTAAAGGTATAGAGACTAAAATAAAATATTTTTAAAGTATATAAATTAAAATGAATAAAGTAAAAAAGATTGGGGATCAAAAAGGAACCAAGATTAAAAGTACGGACTTAAGTTAATAATAATTTGGCGGTTTAATTTTTGCAAAAATGAAAGTTTCGGTTTGAGAAAAAATTGGAAGCGAGCGATAGCAAGACGCTGCAGCACGGAAATGGCTCATGTCGGCCAAGTGTCGACATGTCGTTCCGATGTTAAAAAACTTTCACTCCGTAACTGTAAGAACGACGTCGACGTACGGTGAAAAATTGCAGTCGGCCCAATCGGAAGGAACGGTTCGAGCTCAGACAACGCATTCGCACAGCAAAGTCTCCGGCTTCTCCTCTCCATCTCCGCCGCCGTCTGAGATTTTCGCAGCTCCGGTACTGTAGATTAAGGCGGTGAGCATGGACACGGCCAAGGAAGAGTTTCTCAGGGAGTTCGGTGGTGACTACGGCTACCCCGCCGGTCCCAAGACCATAGATGAGATTCGAGCCACTGAATTTAAGCGCCTAGCCGGTAAGATTTCGACCTAGCTATAACAAAGTGATCGTAGTGGACCAAGAACTGTTCACTTAGTCGTAATCTTTTTTTTTCCTTTGCCATCCGTTTTGATGCATTTTAATAATTGCGAGCAAGTATTTAATTAGCTTCTAGTCAAACATTCAGAATTCGACGTGTTATTTTACTTCCTGTTTTTCTTCTGCTTTCTCCATTACTAAACATTCAGAATTTGGTAGGTGTGGCCTACTTGGACCATGCGGGAGCAACTTTGTATTCCGAGTTACAAATGGAAGCGATCTTTAAAGATCTCACTGCTAATTTATATGGAAATCCTCGTATCCTGGATTGGAATAACTTCCCTGATAATATTTAATATCTTTTCAATAAATCACCTCGAAGAGTTGTTTGAGATGAGTTATGAAGGTGAGTATTTACTTCACTTTGTAAAATTGCACCGCTACTTCAATGCTCTAGGATACTTTCCTTTTAAATTGTAGAAGTCGTGTGGAAGAAGTCATTGTCAAAGATGCTTTGCTCTAGCTTTTGTCTGGGAATGCATCAAGTACTCAAACATTGGACATTAAAGATTTGGATAAATGAATCTGTTTCAGACAGAGGATGCTTTGAAGAAGCATATATTCAATTTAATTCTCTAACAGTCTCTAATATTTATTATGAATTCATCATCGAAGAAGTATGTTTGAATTCAGGGAATAAATATTAGGATCGTCAAAGTCTTTATGAACGACTACTTTGTACAGGATAATTTTTCCAGTCCAACGAGTGTGAATTACTACTTCCTGGTTTCATACTTCATCATCTTTTCACACTGTACTTGAGTTATTTTTTCTTTTTGGACAAGGCTGTGAGGCAGGAATTTGAAGATTTTCAAATCTTAGATTTCCTTTGGCAAGAGCAGTAAAAAAATTTATAGTAAAGAAAGAAAAGTAAAGGGAAGAGAGAGATAACAATACTAGAATTTATACAGCTTCACCTTTTGAATGACCATGCCTTCTCTTTTATAGACTTTGCATGTTTCGTTATGAAGATAAAGTTTTTACCAAAGTAGAACCATGAGTATTTCATAAAATCTCTCAATATTCTTCCTTGCTTTTAAAAAGATACTAAGCATATTTTTTCTCGTCCATTTTCTCTTTTGATGAGCTCTAGCTCCGAGAAGGATTGCTCTAGCTATCTTATTTCAGAAGGGAAAAAAAACTATAAACAACCTAGAGTGACAGTCTATCAATTTTGCACCATGATGGCCAGTTGGAGCGCACAATTTAAATGCCAAACTTCACAGGCTCTACTTTCTGGGTTTGGATTTATTTTCTTTTGGACTTTTAATGGTTGGGCTCTTGAGTCTTGAATCCTAGCATGTTGCATGAATTTGTTACATCAATTTTGAGTTTTCTTAAGCTACAGTTAGATAGCCGAAGTGATTCTAGCTTTGCTACTTCTGAAATCGTAAGGAATGCCCGTCAACAGGTAAATGTATTTTAATCTGTATCCTATTTAGTTCCCGACCAAAGAAACTCTGAAATTTTTTAATGAAATTGTTTTAACTTCATAGGCCTTAGAAACATTGAATTTCACAGCCACACACACGTATGAAAAAATTACATTGGGGGAAATGTTTGGTTTAATTACGGTTTCCATTATATTTATGAACAACCACATTTTTAGCATGTCATATTTGGAATGATGTGGAATGCAGGTCCTTGACTATTGCAAAGCATCTCCTAAGGACTACAAATGCATATTTACTTCTGGTGCTACTGCAGCATTAAAATTAGTTGGTGAAGCCTTCCCATGGAGTCATCAGAGCAGCTTTGTGTACACAACGGAAAATCATAACAGTGTTCTTGGAATCAGGGAGTATCCTTCTGAGTGATGTCTGTTTGATATTACTTTTCTTTTATGTGAACAGTTTTGGCCACCTTTGTTTGTACGTTTTGTGTATAAGGTAATTTTAATTAAATGACGCCAATTTTTTTCTGAAGATTATGATTATCTGGTTATTGATGTCCATTTTATTGATTGTTCTGTGTACTCGTAGGCAGTTCATTGCATTTTGACATGGTGAACATATCTATTCTGATTTGAATGTTTATAGGCGAAATCTTTGTACGATATGAATATGTTATCTGTTTTGGATTCTTTTGCTTCTCAGAGCCTTCATTTTAATTTTCCATTCTTTATTTGAGAAGATTCCCTTTTGTAGTTATAATCCATGAAAAATTTTCTTAATAGCTATAAGATATGCTCTTGAACAAGGAGCTCAAGCCTATGCCATAGATATTGAACATGCAGAACGGGATGCATCCACAGGAAACCTTGCATCTATGCACGTAATAAAGCACCAACTGCTAAGGAGAAATGAAGCCGAGTTTCTGGATAAAGATAATATAGGTTTGTCTTGGTTGTACTTGGATAACTCTTGTTCCACGTGTGCAAGCTGAGAGTGATGGTTTCTAGTCCATCTGCTATGGCTATTTTGATTTCTTATTGAAATTTTCTGGTCTTAAATGGTTGCTGGTTTGTTAGCATGAAGATAATTAAGTTTTCGTCGGGCTTATCCTTGAACTTGTCTTTTACATGGCTTGAAATGTTAATATGAGATTGGTTGTAATGACCTAATGGATTGGAATGAAGCTGCAGTGAATCACTTCGTGTGCCTCTTAAAAAATTCTCACCTGTGATTTCTGGTTATTTCAATCATACTTGTTAAAGTCTTAAAACAGTTTTCAGCTGGATCATCTTACATTTTTTGTTTGGACAAAAATCGATGTAGCTATTGGTTTAATCTCTTGAATAACAGGATTTTAGCAGACGTGTTGTGCCAATTTTAAATCTCAAGGATGTTCGTTGGATGGTCAAGGACTCATGAAATAACAATTTAGAATTGTCACAAAGTTATTGTGAAAGATGGCTTCACAATAGTAATATGGTCTTATTAGCCTAAGTGTATTTTGGTTTCTTGTGGATCATAATATAATGTTATGCTCTTGCTTGACAACAGTTTTCAAGTGAAGTTAGAGCTTCCAGTTGTAAAATAGTTTGTCTTGACAAACATTGAATGTCATGCTTGCAAGTTAAGATAGAGAGATGGTTCTCAAGTTTTCTATTTTTCTTTTGCATTTGAGTTTACTCATGTTTCCTTCGTGAATATTTCACAGAAATAAAATGCTGGTTCAAACAAAAATTTTGAGGAGATCTTCTCATAGTTTGATCCTTTTCCAAATTTGTAATTTGATTCTAAAGTAAATCAGGATTTCTAATTCTCGTAAGTCAAAATTTCAAGGAGGCTACTATGGTGATACACAGGAAGAAAAGAATTGGTTTAAAGTTTTTAGATTTTACATTACTCTTGTTTTGAGAACTTCAACTTCAACTTCAACTTGCTCTTGAAACTTGTTAATTATTTTCTTCACAAAAATGTGTGATCCCATCTTTTTGAATTGGAGATATGAATAGCAACTTGTGATAATTGTTGTGTTTGAGAGTTGGAGTAAGCTGAGTAAATTGCCAATCATTAGAGGTTTGAGAATATCAGAATTTGATTGTCATATTTCAAGATTGAGAGAGAAGATTCTAAGTTTATGATTTTCAATTTGCAAAGTTCTACACATTAAAAGGTTTTGTTCATGATTTTATGTTTCCTTCCAATTTAATTCAATTTTGAAGTCCATGTTTTCTTGATTTAAAAATTGGTTTAATAATTCACTGAAAACTTATTCTTCCTGTCTAAGTTAAGATATTTTTATCAGAACAACTGGATCTGGATTATGCCTTTTATTTTCCAAAGCGTTAGCAGTTCATTAACCATGTAGCATATTAAACTAGGATTTTTCAAATTTTAAAATAAACCAATAACTCTGTAATCATTTCAATTATGTATTGGTAGGGGACCTAACCTGATTTTTTATACGGGGCCCTGTATATTTTAAATTCCATCTCCTATTTGGGGTGGAGTTCAGGTGTTATGAATTGATTAACCTTGCAGAAGGACTAAGAATAGCAATTGAGGCTATGAGTTTGATTTGGGTTGGATGCCTCCTTGCCCAAACTTTGGAGCAATGATTCCTTTGTGATGATAGATTCATTTCAAACTGGTTTACTAAACTTCCTGAGCCATGGACACATGGCCTACATGACTACATCCTTAATGCTTTCTTCTTACTTGTATATTCTGTGCTGTTCACTTGACATGTATAATTTTTTCTCCAATAAAGATAATACGTAAACTCTGTTTGTTTCTGTTAACAAGATCATTGCATTATGTGATTTTAATTTTGACCCATATTGGTTACATCTATTTGAGGTACGGACAAGTCTATGCTCATTATACATTTATGTCACAGCATTTGATTTATGTAATGACTATGATGCTTGTAGCATCAATTTTGATGTTTTTTTTGCAACTTTACCTTTATCTTCTTGTTCATCTTGTGCAGGCAGTGCGTATAACTTGTTTGCCTTCCCTTCAGAGTGCAATTTCTCTGGTTTGAAATTTAGCCTTGAATTGGTGAAGGTTGTAAAGAAAGATTTGATTAGATATTTTGATGGCTCTCCATCTTTGAAGTAATTAATACCCAAATCTCTCCTAGTTTCTAACTGCTTTGATCCACTTCTCATCACGCCATGCAAGTCTATACAATTAGTGTATTTGGCACAACAAGAAATTTTGGACAAGATTTGTTCAATTTGTATTAAATTGAGCTGATACAATCAAGCAACATTCATACTGGATAAAGTACTTTTGTGCTATCAATCCTTTTTCTTGATAAATGCTTATTCTTGGTGGGATATTAATACGGAACATGAATTCTTCTATTCTTTCTGATTGAAGATACATATCTTTTAACAGCTTCCATTTAACATATGCATATCAATGAAATTTGTTTCCTATCCTTCTATTTTTTTTTTTTTTTTTTTAAATATGCATATCTTTTGTTATTAACATCCATTCGTTTTGAATTTGCATATGTTTGATGTCTATACGTGTAGTGGAAACTGGAAGGTCTTGATTGATGCCGCAAAAGGATGTACCACAGAACCACCAGATTTATCGAAGTATCCTGCTGATTTTGTTGTCATCTCTTTCTATAAGGTGTGTGTGCAATATTTTGAATTTCCATGAAACCACTACCTTATGTATGCATTGTGATTTCAGCTTTGCAGACACCCGGTGATCTGGTTGATATGGAGCTTTAATAATTAAATATCAAGTAAAGGAGGCTCTGTCATGATCTGATCTTACAAATATAAAGATCTAAAAATAAAAGTTAATATTCTTATTAACTATTTCTTTACATTCTTCTGAACTAGCTGTTTGGGTATCCAACTGGACTTGGAGCTCTCATAGTTCATACTGGTAAGGGTCTCTTTTCAGAAGTTTGTATTCTATTAAGTTACTTCATCAGCGTGATTGAAGTGTATGCACCTGGTTAGTGTTCTATGTACCACTAATATTTTAGAAGGTTAAAGATGACCTCAAGGTTTTTTCTCTTTAAGAGGTGAGGTGTAAGTTTGGAAGCTGTACGAGGCCTAAGCCTCAATCATAAAATCGTATGATCAAGTTTATTACATATGTAAACCACCAACATCATGTTGATATAATCTTTTCTGCTACAATGAAATGATCTGTTGTTTTTACTCCTCAAGACCCAAATAAGAACAAATTTGTTTACCTTAGACCTTCACTAAAATTAGTTTGTTTCTCTATACCTTTTCCTTATTAAAGTAGATTCCAGGCTGAAATTTTTAATCTTCTAATCTTCCCTGTACTTGTAAGAGCTATGCATCATATATTAAATTAGATTGTACTATGGTTGGAAAGGTTTTAATACTATTACTATTTTAATATTGCAGATGCTGCCAAGTTGTTGAAGAAAAGATACTTTAGTGGAGGTTTGTATTTAGCTATGTTATCTAGTGGATATTTCTTCTTCTTCTAATTTATTATTATTATTATTTTTTTTCCGGTGGGGGTGATAAGAATCTAAGAATTTCATTGCACATAAGAAGTTGTGAAAGGGGAAACCACCTCTACAAAAACCATTAAGCTAAAAGAAAACCATTTCCTATTGCCAAGAATTAAAGAAAGGTATGATTAGGAAAAGAGCTAGAAAGAGCTCCAAGAGGAGACTACAAAAACAATAAGGTCAGAAGCTCCTGCTAATGCTTTTTAGGACCCTGAAAAATTATCCTATTTTGTTCTAATCATACATAGAAAAAATAGCCATAGTTGCATCCAGACAGAATACCTTGGCCCTTTTTCTTAAACCTTTATGGCACTGACACAACGTGTCTAGGCCGTTTAGACCTTGAGGGGAAAAACAAATGGCATCTTAAATTTCTCCAGTAGCCTCCATCATATATTAAGCTTGCAGGGGCTGTTTAATAAGAATTAAGAAGTGGTTCATAAACTACACTAATCACGATGTGCAAAACAAGATTTTTAAGCAGCATTTTAGCAAATGTGCTTAACCCCCCATAGGGCAGCTATCCAGAAGTAAACAGATCTCATGGTTCCAATATAAAGAGAAGGCTAGAGCATTCCTTCAGCCCTTATTCCAGCTCGCTTTCCCTCACTTTTCTCTATAATAGGCTTCCTCTGCTTTGAGTTGGGTTGCACAACCTGAGGATAAGAAATTCATACAGATTATCTGCAGGATAACTAATTGAAGTTTTAACAAATTCTTTAATTATATAGGCACCGTTGCTGCTTCAATTGCTGACATTGACTATGTCAAACGAAGAGAGGGCATCGAGGAGCTCTTTGAAGATGGTACAATCCCATTCCTGAGTATAGCGTCTCTATCCCATGGGTTCAAAGTTCTAAATTCTCTAACTGTACCTGCAATATCTCGGTACGGAAAATGCATCCTTTAAGTTGCATGCTTCTAAAATTGCTTCGATGATTTTATCATGGTTTTAATGTGCTTATAAGATTTATGATGCAACTTTGTCGTCTAATTTATACTATCTGAAAAGAAATTAAGTAATATGTTATAATATCTTTATTATTCTCAAATTCTTTGTATATTATGAATTCGATGTGCTAGCTACTCTGGTTGATATGTCTGTTGTTATGTTTTTGTTTTAGGCTGTTTAAGACTTGCTTGCTGCAGCAATATTGTCACTGTATTTAAGATTTCCATTCTTTTTTTTTTTTCTCTCTCTCTCTCTCAGCTGTGATATGCATATTTTTTCTTTCTTTCCAACAAGCAAGATTTGTGTAGGCTATTGTATTACATTCTTGCAATTGAGCATTTGACTAGTGACAATACCACTCACCTGTCACCCGTCGTTAATCTCTCTCTCTATTTTTGCTTGTTTCTGGCTATCTTTAATTGTTATATTTGTACTTATCATCAACTAATTATGTTAATAAGCACACTTGACATCATTAACTGAAGGCATACTTCATCTCTTGCCACGTACTTGAGGAACATTCTTGTGGCCTTGAAGCATGAAAATGGAACCAGTGTATGCACTCTCTATGGAAGTTGCAATTCCGAGGTTAGTTTTACTACAAAGTTTTGGTTGGTTCAAATATTTTTTAAAATTTCTATATTGTTGGCAAGGAGGTCGTGTTAAAATTATTGCTCTCTCATCACTGTTGATTAAATGTTTAATGCAACTCATTGTTGCATAAGAGGAAAATATGCAAAGATCCCAAGATAGTAATTCAGTTGTGATCAAATATTCCCATCTAAATATAATTATTAACTTCCTATACAACGAGTCTATGGTAGTCAATCACTTCCGTTTCTGTTCTAACAAGTCAAGGTCCATCTGTCTTGAGCCAAGCCAGATGACCTTTGTTAGTATATTTGTATTATTAGAGATATTGTCCTTCATGATCTTTTAACATTTTTTTTGTTTAAAAAAAAAAACAAGAAACAACCTTTCATTGATATATGAAAAGGAAAAAGGTTCAAGATACAAACCCGAAAGGGGTAAAAAAGAAAAGAAAGAATAAGAGAAAATAACGGAAAATTAGTGCAACAAGAGCAATACAAGTTCGAAGAAGATAAAAAGAATTCTAAACTAGAACTCAGAAAATCTGCTTACTACAGAACTTGAAAAATCAAACTAATTCCAGAGCCAACAGATGCATGAAGGAAAAAACCTTCCTTAGCACCAAAAGCGAAGACCAAACTTCAAAGAGAACCAAGTAGAAGCTAGGGACATAAGAACCAAACCTCAACCGAAATGCTAGCAAGGAGTAATCACCAAAAACTAAGCCTCAATGCTGTCGTCAAAAAACCTCCAAATATAAACCACCATATGCAAATCCGCATGTTGAAAAGAAACTTTGAAAACCTCACCAGCCAACCAACCAAACTAAAATTGCAAAGCTTCGAAAATTGCAAAAGGCTTAAGGGAGAACATTCCAGCTTTCTGAACTACTTAAAACTCAGAGGACATACTCAAATGGGACAAGAGTAATCTCCATTTCTTTAAAAAAGGAAGGAATGGTTGTTTGCTGAGGAAGATCCGACTTCTCATCTTTTTTTTGCTCCTTAAATAAAATATGAACATCTTCCTCAAAGGATTGCTTAGAAATATCCTCAATAGGGATGTCTGACTTTGGGGAAGAGTCCAAACTACTAATACTAATTGCTCCATCATATTCTTCAAAATCATTATCCGAGAATTCCAAGAAGGAAGATCTATGAGACAAACCCTCATTAGTGGAGTGAATAGAGCCAATGGAAAGAACATTTAACTTGTCTATACTAACTTTTCTAACTGCTTCCCGTTCCTCATTAAAAGACTTATACAAGTTAACTTGAACCCCTTCAGAGAACAAAGGCTTTGCGAGCTCCTTTCCAAAAATAGTGTTTGTTTTTCTACGAGAGAAGAAAAGAGGAAGGGGCTGAATTAATCTTTCGGTATTCTTCATACCAGGTGGAAAAGGGTTGCCCTTTGACTTTTGATTCTGGATAGCTTCTGCATTTAATTCTTGGAAAATAGTGGGACCAATAATGTCTTTTTCCTTATCAAGTCTATATATATCTTTAGTGAATGGAACAGAATAGAAGTAATTGATTCTCTCAGACCTTTAGTGCTTACTCCGATGAGTGGCATCATGATTTTGATTGGGTTTTCTTAAATCTTTGACCACACTGGTTGCCTTCTTGGCTAAGTAGGTGAATCAGAAGCTTTCTACACATTTTTCGCCTAGACCTGGTTGCCGAAAGGATTATTCACCATGGCTATCTTTCACCTTTCCCATGTATCCCAGAGGTGGCAGTTGCTATAACATGAAGAATGCAACCATGATTAGACTCAAATTTGGAGTGGTTTGTGTAACTAGAATAGCTTTTCGGTGTGCATCGTTGATAAATGACTGTGTGGGAGCCGAGGGTACTATCAAATGCAAGGGCCCATGTAGTTTGAAGCATCACAAGAATTCTCAGATACAATCTGGACCTAGTTCCCTTCTTCCCACTTAGGACAAGGTGTTGCTGACCTTGAGGGTAATATTAGGCCCTAAATTGTATTAGGAGCATTAAACATTGAAAGTCAAGTAGTAATGGAAGTTGGCAATCAGAAAGGACGAGTATTGATGAGAGGAGACGGGAATAATTGCCTGTCCTAAGTTGTAGGCTTTCAACTTGTAATAGAAAAAGATGATGTAATACTGTTCTTGCAGTATGATACCCATTATCATGGTATTACTATGCTGGAAAAAGAGGGTACACAAAACTTTTTCTTTTTTTTTTATGAGAAACAACGATTTTATTGAGGATAATGAAAATAGATACAAAAAGAACAAGACAGGCATCAAAAAGAGTGACATGTGGATT